ACTATCACCAATCCTCTTTATACTATATATAGCCTCGCTATATAAAGTACTAAAGGAAAAGCACCCTCTGGTCAGCTTAGTGGGATTCGCAGACGACACCAACATCCTAGCCTTTGGAAGGGACCCCTATATCAACTGCCGGCAACTAGAACAAGCCTGGGCTACATGCCTACAGTGGGCTAGATCCTACGGAATGGAATTCAATGGGGCCAAGTCAGAGCTGATCCACTTCAACAAAGGCCGTAAACAGTGGTCTGAACCACTACGACTAGCCAAACCGGGCCACCCTCATGACCATACTATGGTTAAACCAACGGCTTCAGCCCGGTTCCTAGGGGTCTGGCTCGACTGGAGGCTTTCTTGGAAGGCCCACGGAGCCAGCATAGCTACCAAGCTAAGAACCCAAGACTTTGCCCTATCAAGGATAGCAGCCAAGACCTGGGGCCCGGGGCTAATCAAGGCCAGAGAGGTCTATACCAAGTGCATTCGTAGCGCAATAGCCTATGGGGCATCCAGCTTCCACAAGCCTACAACACTCAACGGCTCACCACAAGGCCTAGCCAGAGACCTAGCAAAGGCCCAGAACCGAAGCCTACGCATCGTAGCCGGGGCCTATAAGACTACCCCTATACGGAATCTCGAGACGGAAACTTGGATCCCTCCCCTAGACCTCTACCTTAACAAGAGGCTGGCCGACTTCGAAGGCCGGCTCAACGAGCCTACCCTACAGGCCGGGCTAGGCCCAGAGGCCCCGAGACGCCCACCAAAGGAAATCATCCAAGGGGCTTGCAATAGGCTCCAACGAAGGTTCCGGAGGCTACGGGGCCGGCCCCGGAGCCCAGAAAAGCCAACAGACGTCGAAAAGGCCTCGGCTGTAGTGGCCGAATGGAACGCCCAGGCTAAAGCCTTGGGCCCACCATTGGCCAAGACCCAGGATGACTGGGCATTATTAAGAGCTTGGGAGGCCAGGTGGAAAACCCAGGTCCAGGGACAGCCAACCAGGCTAGCCGACGAAGGCCTACCAACAGTTCTCTTCACAAACCAAGGCCTACGGAAACACCAAGGCCTTACAAAGGCCAAGAGCTCCCTACTAGTACAGGCCCGTACGGAGGCTATAGGCCTACGGGACTTTCTTTTTAAACAAAAGGCCCGTAACCAGCCTACCCCCTATTGCGAATGCGGGGAAGCCAGAGAGACAGTAGAGCATCTTGTGATTTGGTGCTCTATACCACCTATACCAAGAACTTGGCCTAGGCAACTAATACGCACCCACCGGGACCTTAGCCTTGTTTTACAGGGCCTAGGCTACCGGAACCGAAGACTTCTGAAGAAGGTACTGGGTTGGCTAATGGACTCGGGCCGGCTAGGGGAATATAGGCTCGCTCGGAACCTCGATGAGGAACTGGAAGCTAGAGAGCCCGGCTAGCCACATCCGTGGCCACGGCTTAGCCGGGCTAGCACCCTACTAGCCGTTGGCCCAAGGCCTTCCCAAGGCCTTTTTCTTTACTTGCAGCAGCGTGTATCACTGGAACTATGTCTTTCCTATTACTTCCGACAAAGGTTTTCACCCGGCCTAAACGGCACGGTTTTTCCTTTGTATATAGCAATAGAGGGTCCGGCGCGCCTTGTAAATAGCGAGGCATAGCGGAGTAGGAGAATATATATATATATATAGGTCGCCTTATCTTAGTCTCTAAACACCTTGATAAGCTCGTTCTCGAACTCCTTATAATTATTAAATACCTTATATATAAACAGCTGCTATTATTTAGTATTATTCTTGACATAGTCCTTAAGAGTAGGCTCGAACCATCTAGTAGCTCAGCCTTCGAGTCGAGATGCTATGTACCGGGTCTTAATATCCTCATCGGGGAAGCAGACATCGTAGTATTTGATATAGGAGAATATTTCTATAAGAAACCGAGAGAGGTCCTCTTATTCTCTGTAGACCTTATTAGGTGCTTTAATCTTAATTTTAGCTTTCTTAGTATCATTAATCTTACTATTAACTTCGTTAATAAGGTCCTAATAAATAGATACCTCTTTCTCTAGCTTAGCGATCTTGGCTTAAAGAGCTACGATAACGCTAGTGATATCATCCGTAGGCGTAGAGTCTATGCTAACGTTGGAACCGGTATAGCTTATAGTATCAGGTCCTATACCTTTGATCTAAACCGTAGTAGAGTCAAAGGGAGTAAGCAACGTATGACGAAACCATAGGCAGTCCTGCCTCTAAAAGGGTTCGCTAGTCGAAGGTATCTGCTAGTCAGACTATAGGTCTCAGTGAAGCCAAAAGGTTCATAACAATACAAGTCGCAATATCTATATAGTAAGGTAGGGATACTCTACTATTTATATTGCTCACTAGAGAACTCCCAGAGTCCTCCAGAATGAGTGACTATATACTAGCTATCTTTGGGTGCTCTTATGTACTCTATAGAGCTCCCTAGAGCTCGGTGCTCTATTGACTCCATCAAGAGCTTCTATTTCCTCGCGTTGATTAGCTTAGCTCCCTAAGCTCTCGTCTGCTCTCTAGAGCACCTTAGAGCTCCTTCTTATTAGTCCTAAATAATTAGTTCAGGTACGCCCTATGCCACCCATCGGGTTGTTCCACCTATAGCTGTCCTGTTAGCTTAATTCGTGACACTATATAATATAAATAGCTGCCGACTTAGTCTATCTTAGGTATATAAGTCGCTTCTATATATAGAGCTTCTTATTATAATCTCTAAATACCTTTTAGATTTCCTACTCGAACTTATTATATAACTTGAAAATTTCAATAGTAAAGTCGTCTTAAGTATTCTTACTATTGGTTAACTAATTCTTAAAAGTAGGTTTAAACTATTAAAGTACCCTCCTTTTAAGCTGCAAGGAGATAAATATAACTTTGGCAGATTTATATATAAACTTATCTAGATAGTACTTAAGGTAGGCCCTTATAGATATAAGGAATCTAGTAAGTCTCTCCTTATCACCTCTATACTTAGGAGGTGCTTCGAGTTTGGCCTTATCCTTAGGCTTGCCGTTATAGGCCTCGTTGACAAGCTGTTGTATATAGCCATTCTCGGCCTCGAGCTAGGCGATTTTAGCGTTAAAAGCCTTGAGGGCCTGCTATATCTAATGTATGGTTGCGGCCTAGCCCTAAGAGTCTAGGGTACTAGGTATCTAAGGCGTTATAATAAGCGATATTACCTTTGATCTGAACTATAATAGAGTCAAAGGGAGTAAGCAATATATGACGAAACTATAGGCAGTCCTACCTTTAAAAGGGTCCGCCAGTCGAAGGTATCTACTTGGTCAGACTATAGATCTTGGTAAAGCTAAAAGATTCACAATAATACTTGCCGCAATATCTATACAATAGATAAGGACTATTGCTTGAATTGCTCACTAGAGAACTCCCAGAGTCCTCCAAAACGAGTGACTATATACTGGCTATCTTTGGGTGCTCTCATATGCTCTATAGAGCTCCCTAGAGCTTAGTGCTCTGTTAACTCTATCGAGAGCTTGCATTCCTTCGTGCTGATTGGCTTAGCTCCCTAAGCTCTCGTCTGCTCTCTAGAGCACCTTAGAGCTCCTTCTTATTGGTCCTAAATGATTGGATCGGGTGCGCCCTGCGCCACCCATCGGGTTTGTCCCACCTGCAGCTGTCTTATTGGCTTAATTCGTGACACTAAGCTCTTAGGAGCTTCGCAGCCACTATCAGCCACCACCTGTGGCTGCAAAGAAAAATCGATTTTAAACTGTGATTTAAGTGGAGAAAACTCTCAAAAGAGGTCCGTGCGTTTACAGGTGGTCCGAGCTTGGGTAGGGCCATGGTTTTTGGCGGAAAAGGAACCTTATGGAAGTACTTGTTTCTCGTACGTTCCTCTAGGCAAGATCAGCCAAAAGCTCCCCTTGTCATCGGTACAATGGGAAAAGCGATTTATGGCTGAATCCGTGTACAGTAACCTCAATATTTCCACCCAGACTACATGTGCCGCAGTTTGGACTGCTGTTTTTGGCGGGCGCGAGGCCTCAAGTTTCCGCAGTCTAGGCCGCCCCATAAGTACATCTCGGGCGGGGCACATGTCCCTATCGGTGTCAACAGTACCCGCACAGTACTAAACCCCTGGCACACTTGCAAGCGCCGCACACCTCAGCAGGTCGGCGGGAAGTCGAATCCATAGCGGTTCACACTTGCCGCGATGAAGACCACGAGCCTGTCTTAAAACCTGCCATGTCTGTACCCACCGGCGTTCGCATTGCTGATAGCCTTTTGACACTGTTTCGACAATTGTTCCCGCATACGATCAGTCACAGTTTCTTGTAAGCTACTGTACTTAGATCGAACTGAGTATGGGCTCTGCTCACAGAGGGCAGAGTGTTGTGCACAGTGCGACTAGCCGAACAAAATGGACGCTGCAGCGGAACGAGTGCCCAACCCCAGCCGCGGTACCGTTGACAGCAGTTGAGCTTCAAAATATTTACCACCGTGGTAATAATAAGCGACGCCTGCTGCCGCCTGATCGTGCCGATAACACGATAGTCAACCTTGTTGTTGCGGAGAAACGATGGCGCAGCTTCTGCGCGTTCTTCCGGGACCCCCAAGATCGCGGGTGGAAAACCCACTCGGTTCGTCGATTGGAATCGACTGCTCTGGCCCAGCGCACCGCGACGATTCCTCGACGACGACGCCTTGTCGGCCGCCAACATGTCGGACTCCTAGACCCAGACGTATTCGTGGCCTAGCAAGACGGTCAAGACCGACTACCCAGTGAGTCAATTGCCATAAAGTGGATGGCGACTGCAACTCTTTGCGACGTTTACTGACGCTTTGATGATCTACGCAGCTCATTGACAATGACCTGTACGCTCGACAGCCCCTCCGCCGACGAAGTTCTGAGCAACATACATCATCTGACAATTGCCGCGACAGACATTTCATCAAGGTTTCCCCTCCTTGAAGTAACAACTCCACAATGCTGAGTCTACCCTCCTGGGCAGCCCACAATAATGACGTCCGATCTTGGTGATGAATGTGATGGATTGCAACCCCGCCCGCCAGCTGCACCTTCACCGAGCGTCGCCGAGGATCTCGCCCGAGGTCGTCACGTCCTGTCTATGCATACCGTATTGCTGCCCGCGCAACCGTTCTGCGCACCATAGTTGTACCAACCAGCCCTCCGCGTCACTCCTGCGCTCCGCACGTCCTTCAACATCTTGCGGCCCAGCATGGCTCGGGCCCCGTTCCAGTCCAGGCCGACGAGGACGGACGACCTTGTCCGACGCCTACGGAGCAACGACACCGATCCGAAGGAGACGAACGCCCTGAGAGCCTTGGCGAAGGGAATGATCAAGATCTTCCAAGACGAGCGCCGTCCATCGCACGTGCCGGAGGCCGCCGCGCTCGCCCCTGTCACCACCGCCAGCAGCTACCGAGACCTGTCCAGGGCTTTCGGCAACGCCGTGATCCTCGGCACAGTAGATGGCAGTCTCCTCGACCCTCAGCTCCTGCCGGCGTTTACGTCCGTCCTCCGCTGCGCTGATGGGGACAAGACGGCTGATCTCGAGCTTGGGTGCGTGATGAAAAGTTTGCAGACGCGGCTCAAGGCCGCCGTTGAACAGGCCGATCCCAGATCCCAGTACCGGTTGATCTGCACGCTGTCATTCGTCCTCGACGCCCTGATAGACACGAAGACCGCCGGTCTCAGTCGAGAAGAACTGCACGAGCCCCTGCTCAAGCAACTCGGGACGTTGAGCCGGGAGCGAGAACTCCGCCTGGCTCAGGCCGCTCGCTACGCGTATCAAGCCTTGCTTGGGATACCGAACGACGAGGGTCCGTACAAAGCTCTCTGGCGCAATATGCTGCCCGTCGTCCAAGGTGTGGCTAAAGTGGCTGGCGCGGTTCCCACCATGGATCCGGCCAAGCTCTTCGACGGTCTTACGCACTTGGGGGATCTGCCGGCTCTGGTCCGCTCCATGGTCGACGTGGTCAAGGCGCTATCCGGCCTGGTCGACACCTTCGGAGGCGCGGCCGAGGGCGTCAAGCTCCTGCAGAAGCAGAAGAGCTGGTATGTGGCTCTCCGGTTCACAGATATGTTGATCCAAGCGAGGGCCTTCAACTACCTAGAGGAGTTTGTCGGAAATGTGCCCTGCCACCAAGAAAAGGAATTTCTGTGCGGCCTCTACGCACAGCTCGAGCGGGCCTGGGAAGTAGGAGACTCATCGGCCAAACAGCAAATCGTCCAGCTCCTCGAACAAAACCTGGTTCCCGCGGGGTGTAAATCGGCCCATCCACGCGTCCGCGAATGGGTCAAGCTGGTTGCGGTTACTCTTGGACGACCCGACTGGAGAGACAATGTTCTGCCTGCGCCGAAGTCCTGCTGTTCGTGGAGGAAAGGGTATACGGTCTCGATTCCCATCTGGGAACCAAGCGATGGCGCGTTCTCGGCAGACCTGCTGAACAAGGCTTGGGAATGCTGTCTCGAAGCCCAGGTTTTCTACGCGGACGTCAAGGTGCGGGAACACTATATGGAGAACGACGAGCGACTCCTCAAGGTCGAACGGCTCTCGGGCGATCGACTGCCGATGGAGCAGTGCTATATCAACCTCGCCGTTGTGGAGCAGGCGGATCACAATCCCGGCCGCTCAGAGCAAGGAGATGCGGAGCGCAAGTCTTCCCCGTTCTCGCTCCCCGCTCGGCTGAAGGTAGAGACTCCGGTTAAGGACAAGCAGGTCTCCTTGCCTTGCTTGTTTGACGCCCGGAAAAGACAGGATAGTACGACAGCTCCACCACAGCGGATCTTGATTCGGGGCCAGGCAGGCGTGGGAAAGACGACCCTGTGCAAGAGGATAGTCTACAACTACCTTCACGAGGGCATGTGGGATGGCATGTTTGACCGCCTACTTTGGGTACCTCTGCGAACGCTGAAAGGGAGGTCGGCCTATAATCTGGAGCAGTGGCTTCGCGACGAATACTTCCGTACTGGAAACGGAGATATATTCGCCAAAGCAGTAGGACAGACGGTGGGCAACCCTGACGGGCGTAGCAGGACGCTGTTCATCCTTGACGGTCTCGACGAAGTGTCTCGGGAGCTGGATTCCGAAACGCCAGGGCTTCTTCACGACCTACTAAAACAGCCTCACGTCATCATCACCTCCCGGCCATCCGGGCTGAGCCTGACTCACGTCGGACGCGTCGATCTGGAACTAGAGACCATTGGCTTCTACCCGGACCAAGTACAAGCCTACTTGAAGATAGCTGTAGGTGAACAGGAGACAGAGATCGAGACATTCCTCCAGGATCATCAGCTTCTTCAAGGACTAGTTCGAATTCCCATACAGTTGGAAGCGCTCTGTTACAGTTGGGACGCTTCTATGAACTCGCAAGGAGCACCGACGACCATGACAGCCCTCTATCGAACAATTGAATCGAAGCTGTGGAAGAAGGATGCCGCACGGTTGGAAAAGACGCACGAAGGCAAACCGCTCTCTGAGGACGCCGCGAAGCGATTGCTCGACAGCGAGATCGCATCGCAGGTAGTGCCGGAACTCAACCTTCTCCGCTGCCTTGCTTTCACTGGTCTCTGCAGCGACGTGGTCGAGTTCGACAAAGATTATCAAGACAAGATATGGGAGCAATGGAGCCGTGTCTCGGGGTTACAAGCTGCGGAAGCTCGGCCGTCGTCTCTCTCACTCGCGAAGGTCTCGTTTCTACGCTCGTCAGACGCTCCCTCTAGTCAGAGACACCGAAGTTATCACTTCTTACATCTGACATTTCAGGAGTTTTTCGCTGCGCAATATTTTGTAGAGCATTGGAAGCCTGGGGAGAAGCTTCCATGTTTGGGACTCGGCGGCGGAGTAACGAAACCCACAAACGCCGAAGACTTCCTTCGGACGGAGAAATACAAGGCGCGCTACGATGTCTTTTGGCGTTTCGTCGCCGGCCTCCTTTACGACAAGGGCAACGAGACACAACTCTTCCGATTCTTTCGCACGATCGACGACGAGCCGCGCGACCTCTTGGGCCCGACGCATCAGCGGCTAGTCATGCATTGCTTGAACGAGACGCCGTCGAACAATTCACCAAGCTTTACCTACCTTCGAACAAGCTTAGAGGACGAATTGTCACGATGGGTGTTGTTTGAATGCGGCTTCCAAAACTGGTCATCATTGGCCCGCGAAATGGAGATTCCAGAACATGTCCTGGGTGACGTCTTACGAAAAGGATCTGAGAATGCAAAAGTGAAGATCCTGTCCTCCCTACGAAAGGTCTCGGCAAACGCCATTGAACAAGCACCGAGCTGTCTGAAAGATGGCGTCTCTTCCCGCTTGCAAATTGCAGTGCTTCGCATACCACAGCCACTCAAAGGCTTCCCGCGCGAGATCCTCCAGGCTATAGCGGGCCGGCTCGAGGACAAGGATGGACAGGTCCGGCAGGCGGCGGCCCACGCCCTCGCACGCCGGGCGGACCTCCCGCCCGAGATCCTCCAGGCCGTAGCAGGCCGGCTCGAGGACAAGGACGGACAGGTCCGGCAGGCGGCGGCCTACACCCTCGGACGCCAGGCGGCCCTCCCGTCCGAGATCCTCCAGGCCGTCCAGGCCGTAGCAGGCCGGCTCGAGGACAAGGACGAGGACGTCCGGGAGGCGGCGGTTGACACCCTTAGAAGCCAGGCGGCCCTCCCGTGCGAGATCCTCCAGGCTATAGTAGGCCGGCTCGAGAATAAGGAGGGGTACGTCCGGCAGGCGGTAGTCTATATCCTCGGATGCCAGACGGCCCTCCCACGCGAGATCCTCCAGGTTATAGCAAGCCAGCTCGAGGACAAGGAGGGGTACGTCCGGCAGGCAGCGGTCGATGCCCTCGGACGCCAGGCGGCCCTCCCGTACGAGATCTTCCAGGCGATAGCAGGCCGGCTCGAGGATAAGGATTGGTACGTCCGGCGGACGGCGGCCAACGCCCTCGGACGCCAGGCGGCCCTCCCACGCGAGATCCTCCAGGCTATAGCGAGCCGGCTCGAGGATAAGGAGGGGTACGTCCGGCAGGTGGCGGTCCAAGCCCTTAGAGGTCAGGCGGCCCTCCCGCCCGAGATCCTCCAGGCCGTAGCGGACCGGCTCGAGGACAAGGGCGAGCAGGTCCGGCGGGCGGCAGTCTATACCCTCGGACGCCAGGCGGCCCTCCTGCCCGAGATCCTTCAGGCTATAGCGAGCCGGCTCGAGGACAAGGACGGGTACATCCGGCAGGCGGCGGTCTATACCCTCGGAGGCCGGGCGGCCCTCCCGCCCGAGACCCTCCAGGCCGTAGCGAGCCGGCTTAAGGACAAGGACGGGTACGTCCGGCGGGCGGCGGCCAATGCCCTCGGAGGTCGGGCGGCTCTCCCGTGCGAGATCCTCCAGGCCATAGCAAGCCGGCTTGAGGACAAGGAAGGGCAGGTGCGGCGGGCGGCGGCCGACGCCCTCGCACGCTACGCGGCCCTCCCGTCCGAGATCCTCCAGGCCATAGTAGACCGGCTCGAGGACAAGGAGGGGCAAGTCCGGCGGGCGGCGGCCGACGCCCTCGGAGGCCAGGCGGCCCTCCCGTCCGAGATCCTCCAGGCCGTAGCGGGCCGGCTCGAGGATGAGGACCAGGACGTCCGGCAGGCAGCGGTCGATGCCCTCGGACGCCAGGCGGCCCTCCCGCATAAGATCGTCCAGGCCATAGCGGGCTGGCTCGAGGACAAGGACGAGCAGGTCCGGCGGACGGCGGTCTACGCCCTCGGAGGCCAGGCGGCCCTCCCGCCAGAGATCCTTATCCGGTATGCAGAGTCCTTCTACAAGGTCTGGCTAAGGAGGAGCTTCGACGAGTATTTCAGTTGTTACATAGGCGACGCGGTCTACATTCATACGTCGGACGATTTCAAAGCAATCCATTCCAATCAGGTAGATCGGTTTCGAGAGGCGATCCAAGGAGTACGGAAAAAGTTGAGAATTCCGTAGCCATAGGGAGCACCCACAAGTAAGGAATTATACCACGTAGGTTAGGAGTACAGTCGAAACACATTGTATGTCGAGTAGGGCGATGTGGTAAAGTAGACTATGACTTTTCCAGATCCACCACCACACTGCTACGTGTGTCAAGTACTCCATCAAGGCGGTTTTGAAAGCGGGCGTGGAAAAGTTCAAAGCGCAGCTGTGCCGGTTCCGGGCGCCTTGGCAACTCGTGCCGCAGACCGGCTTTACGGACGACGGCCTGCTCGAGGTGAAGAGGGACCGTCCGATGGTTAATCAGTATAACCAGAGCATGGCGATAGGATTGCGGCGCAACATCGACATATCGCTGATCCTCACGCATAAGAAGGGGCTGGCGCTTCTACACTACCTCGGCAACTACGCCACGAAGCTCAACGCTCCGATGTGGAAGCAGCTGGCCCATGCTGAGAGTTGGTGGACCTAGCGCGGAAGCAGCAGGGAGGATCAGACGATCCAGGTGCCTCGTCAGCGATGGGTGAGGAGACCAAATCGTTCCTCCTACGCGTCGCAAATCGAATCCAGACGAGTAGAAAGCTCTCATAGCCCAAGGTGCTTGGCTACCTGCTATCGTCTGGTGGCAGCGTAATAAATCTGGCTGTTTGCTGCACGTCAATGTTCTTGTCAGGGTTCTGGCTCAATAAATCCAACACTCACCTATGGAAGTAGTAGGTAGGGTACGATTAGATGTCGCGATAAGGTGCCGTAACCTAAGGCCACCAGTCTAGTAGAACTGCGCTTCTTCCATCTATGCCACTAGGAGCTCCTTCCCTAGACACCAAAATGACATGTACAGCAGCTAGTATAACTGATCCGTTAGGGTAAAGAGGGCATGCACCCCAATCGAACTAGGAGAGCAGTTTGTTGTATTACGAACAACCTGACCTGCTGTAGGTCACAGGTGTTTTGCTTCTCGATCAGAGCGTTGCCAGTACATGAGCTAAGATACCGCATCATCAAGGTCTAATGCCACGACTTGGCCAAAAGAAGGATGAGTGGGTTGGCAGGTTGTGGGACGTGATGTTCGGCATCTCCTTCACCGGAGTCGAGGGTTTCGAGATCGAGGCCCAGCCATGCCCCGCTCGAATATAAAGAAGCCTATACCGTTGCCATTGCCTACGCGCACCACCCTAACAGCAAGATAAAGGCGCTGAGGCGCTCTGCTTCTTCGACACTCGGACAGGCGCGTATGAAACGAGGGACATGCGGTATAGTCTACTAAGTCTAGACAACTACACTAAGGTATAGCTAGTTTAGTAAAATACATTGGGATAGGAATAATAGGAGCATTGGGAGTCATTGAATAGGTGAAAACTTATACCGACACCCTTAGTGCGTGCCAGAAGACGACATAATTGACTGTCACGGCAGGTTGCTCCTCGGTGTGGCCGAGTGGAGCACGCGCTGCGGCGCGCCTGCGTGAACGCGTATATGGACCACAGAGTCGCAAGGTCGGGGGACTTGCGATGTCGGCATCCTTTTGGAAGGTGCGAGCTAGCCGAGTGGTTCAGGTAGCTCAATCCGTCACATTGACTATATAAATTGTGCCCGAGCCGGCATACAATTTTATAATGGCAAACATAATAAGTTTGATAAGTGTTCAATTCTTCAGGCTCGACCTGTAAGCCCCGAGTCTCGATTAGCCGATCTATCAAAGATCTATCAATAGACCTCATATCCCCCAGTAGGTAGCTTTTTGACGTTGAGCGGGTAGCGCGTCTGGAGCGGAATGCTATATTCCACATGTTGGCTGACGACAAGTTCAACGTGGTAGGTGCTTTGGGCGGAGTTGTCAACCAGCTCGGAGCCCCCGAAATATGTGACGCTTATCCTCCGAACCAACATTCCAGGGGCAATCCTTATAGGTTGGTAGAAACCCGCTATCATAGTCACCCCCTTCAACGAACCATTCTTGTCATATGATAGGGAACGGCTAGAGAGACGCGTAGAGATATGGTTAGTATAGAAGCTAGACGCCCCCGCTCTCTATGCTTGGGTAGATCATATCCAACATACCTATGGACCTCGACTTTTATATTACCACTCGTAACTCCTAGGTCTGGCAACCCTTGCTTGATCATATACTCGACCACAGCTTGCTCTTCTGCCAGTCTGTCTATGGGCCAGCGGGTGTATTCGATCTGGGGTCCTCCCCGCGAAGGACCTTGCTGACCTGCAGCCTGACGAGGCGCTGGAGCGTTGGAGGCACTTGATGCCGCAGCCTTGGGGGCATTTGGCGCCGCAGTCTTAGAAGCACTTGACGCTGCAGCCTTGCGATGGAGCATGATGGAGACGTGGTGGATAGCTGAAGATAAGGGAGTAGAGGTAAAAGTTTATTGTGAATCTAAGATGATAATGAAAGAGCCTGATTATTGATTGTAATTAGGGTAGGGAAATAAAGAGAGAAACAGCCTTTTTATAATTCCCCTGGCCTTGTGAGCAAGGCAATTATTCGAAACATTGGACTTCCTATCTTTATTTCTACTTGGATATCTGAAACACTTCTGCTGTTGCCTACTGTACCTACGATAGGTAGTAGGTATTTAGCTTGGACTTGTCATGCGTACTGGGCCACTTTAAGCTTGAAAGGCAATGGAGAGAGCTAGGTGCCTAGGCTAGTTTCATATGATCCTGCCTGCGGCAAAGGCAGTAACCTTTTCCACTTAATCTAACTAGGTAGGTACCTGGGTAGGTACTTCTACCTAGGGAGGTGTGGTTCCTACAGCATGTAACTGTAAGCATGTTGGCGCCGGAACACGGTCATAATACTGGAGGGGACATCCTTGAAGTTGCATGCCAAGCCAAAGGTGGTGCGATGTGGTCCCAATCGTTGTCGGGCCGAACATGCTCTTCCGGTACATGTACATATGCCTGTATATTTGAAGCAAATCTCATGCTAGTTGCGCTTCAGGTCCCTCTTAAAGTCGGTTTTACATTTGCTGCAATGGCGCTAGTATAAAGTATAGTGGTCGGGCTATCGTTAATGTCCTTGAGACCGGCTTTCACGGCCTCGGAAAAGGCACGGCGAAACCCATCTGATCAAGAAAGTTCGCTACTTACGAGGCGTGATGTATGCCGCGATGGCCGAGATTGGCGGCGAGCTAAGAAACTGCGAGGAAAACGTCCAGTGGTGAGGGATTGCTAGGCGCGTGAGAAATTTGACTGGAAGTTCGGTTAATAATAACCTGGAAAGCTGAATCTTGCTAGTGCGCGGGTATGCTTGTGGATGTGGCAGGAAACCTGGTTTTGGTTTGTGTTCTGTGGTGGGAGATGGAAAGCCCGGACTTGGTTTGCCTTGCGTTAAGGTAGGAAGCCCGTGGTCCTAGCTAGTCGACTGTTTTGGAAGGCGTCCCTGGGCTAGCAGGATTAGGAAGTAGTGAGAGGGTTTCTCATGGATCTTTTCACAGCTGGCATTGCCGCACAGTATTGCGTCAAGGTCGGGAACGAGGCGGAAGTGGTGGTCCCCGAGCTCAGCGCTGGTGGGCCGGCATGACATGTCAATTGTATCTTAGTAGGGTTGTGACCTAGACACGGGCCGGCTGTGAAAGTGATGGATAGATATGCTTTATTAGCTTCGAGCTGCAAATCTTAAGCGTTAGTGTTATCTAGCTAAGTTACCCTATTGGGTGTCGAGATCGAGCAAGCTGTAAAACCATCTCAACCGTGTCAACCAGATCAAGCAACATTGGGATAAGAAATGATAAGCATACCAGTGACCACAGTCTCCATCATAACTTCCAAGCGCTGCAAATTCACAGCTATATTAGCGATCGACTACTCCTCCGGCGGGTATTCCTCTCCGTCTTGCTCGACCGAACCACCCATAGTATAGTTCTCGGTCCCCTCGAAGTCTCCCGTGTAGCTTCCTTGCTCCGTACCCTCCACCCTATATTCAGCCACATTATTATCATCATACTCTTCCTCCTCCTGGTCACGATAAGATGCGGATTCCTGGTTACCATCGAACTAATTCAGGTCGCTGATGCTCGGAGGGCTCGAGTATTCCTTGGTAGAGGCATCTTCGATGTACCCCGGGTCCGTAGGTAAAGGTTTCTCCCAGCCCGTGACGCCTAGCACTGGCGATTCGATGTATGATTCTTGTTCGTGCGGTGTCCCTAGTGCTGTCACTCGTGCTAGCAATAGCGCTGGCAACTTTGGCTCGACTCTTTGGGGCCATCTCAAATGTCTGCGTGAACCTATTACCCGTTAGAGATTGCTGCCCTATGGCGAAACCCAGACAGTCCTGCCTCTGAAAGGGTTATTCTGTCGAAGGTACTGCTGGTCGGGCTGTAGGTTTCGGTGAAGCCAAAAGGTGCACGACAATGCTTGCTGCAATGTCTGCACAATAGGTAGGAACTATTGCTGGTAATTGCTCACTGCGGAAGCTAGCTATCTGAATGAGTGGTAGAACGATGGATCTATATACAGGTTCCTCCTTAGGTACTACCGTATCTAGATACCTATGATCGCCCACGAGCGTTGGCTACCCCGAGCTATCATGATAGCTCGGGAGCACTGGCTATCCTCAGCGATCACGATCGCTCTAGGTCGCCGGCTATCTTTAGCGACCCACGTCAGCCTACATGACGCGGCAGAGATGATTGGTTCCAAAGCCCTGTGGAGGCCCTTGAATGGTTGGTTCGTGACATGCCCACTTGTAATGCTAAACACTCACAGCGCTCGCAATAACCCAATCAACGCAACCCGAGCCTTCGGGTTGAATTGAGGTTGCCTGCAGAGGCCGAAGTTGGGTTGAACTTGAGTTGAGTTGTATAGGTTGATTGTCGGCCGGCCTACGTTTTTTCCGTGCCGACCCCATACATTTCCCTAACCCTGGCACATCAAACACTGAAAAATTGGACGCAAGACTGGCACATGCAACGGAAAAGGCTTACTAAAACGACGATTAAAATGACTGTAATACTGGAATACATATAATAGCCCATATATACGTTCTAAATCCACTGTCCTCCCTGTATGTATTTGGTGGCGGTTTGGTCTAAAACGCAGAGGAACAGAGTCCCGAAGGGGCCTGGAAGTACCAGGGACCCTGGGAAAAGTTGGGAAAATCGGCCAAATGCCAGGGGGTATGGTACGTATACTGGCTCTTGGCAACCTTCGCAATTCTCGCAACTTCGGGGTCTGGGTTGGTTGTGGGTTGCCATGCCTGGGTTGCGTTGACTCTCAGATCTTTGGGTTGAATTGAACTTAAATAGGTTGAGTTGTTGCGAGCGCTGATCACTCATGTCTGCTAGCGTACACTTCCCAGAATTTAAGTATTCAATTGTATCTTCTTTGGCAGCTTGGCTTTAGCTTCCTCCGAACCGGGTTCGAGTCATACTTCGACAGATTTGCTGTAAATCCATTCTGCAGTGCACGTCGAATTAGCTCGTCGTTGCCTATGTTTTCTTTCCCGCTTCGCCTACTACCACTTTTCGTCATGGTAGTTGTAAAGTGGTCTTGTGCGTGGGATGTTGATAGAGAGAAAAATGGAAATGGGTAGAGTTGTAAGGGCATGATGGTGATGATGAGGCGGGACCGGGGCAGAGGACAAGCAGCCATTTTATAACTCACTTATAAACAGGGATGCTATTTTTGACTGCTACAACCTTCCGGGGTTTGTTTTGTTAGCTCGAGTGAATTGCAGGGTCATGGCAATCGGTGGCAATAGCCAAGCTTGCAGATCCGACCATCCATACCAGGTAGCTTTACAGCCATTTTACCAGAGAAGCGACTTCGAGTCTATGACTCGCACAGACCACCCTCAACCAGGTAAGAGCAGGAGGTGAACAGGGCGTGAACGGAGTGTGCACAGCGTGCACAGGGTGCGCGCGGTGTGCGCAGCCTGTCTAGCGCCGGTGCAAGTCACGTGGGCCCTGTAGGTGTAAGCCGTCGAGATTCGGAAGAGGTTACAACCAGAAAATTGCAACGCTTTCCCCTATGTTGAGGAACAGGTAATGAGGTAGATGAACAACATGGCATTTTCACCACGCTGCGCTGCGCCATTGGCCATGTCACCATCCAGGGGAAAGGCGCCGGCCAGTCCAGTCAGACAGGCCAAGCCAACGGCATACCCAACGTCCCGGTCCCGAAGCATCTTGGTGCGTACCAGTCTGTCGAGAACGATCATGGCGAAAAGACACGAGATGGGTCTGGCAACCCCATAGATGCCTGGAACTCGATGAGCAGAGAGCGAAATGAGTCAGTAGTGGATTCCGATTCGGCAATATACACTAAGTGAAATGGTCGGGTTGGGTGTTACGTCAGGGACGGCTTGAGTTGACACCTGTATCATAAGTCTACCCCACTGAAGAAGAAAAACGCTCTCTTCTTTCGCCTTCGTACCCTCACATCATAGACCCCGCCAACCCGCCCAGCACCATCCCCCCGAACAGCGGCGCCATCATCGGAACCCCGAGCCCACCACCGTACCCTCTCCCCGGAACCCGACAGTACGCCACCCCAGGCCTTTGCCAGCCCCCTCCGCCGTACGGATACCCTCCCCCTCCATACATTTCTCCACCACCAAACCCCAAGCCACCACCACCACCACCACCATACAACCCCTCAGTCCTGAGATACCTCCCCGCCGGCCTCCGCTCGTCGTACACAACCTCACTAACAAACGGACTAACCCTCCTAACCTCCACGACCCCGGGGAACCTGACGCCAGGCGGCTCGATAAAGACCTCCTCCCCGCCACGGCTCTCGTCCCTCCCCAGCGGCTGCGGCTGGCCCGTGCGCATGGCCTCGCGCATGGCGCGCCGCAGCGCCTGGTGCTGGCGGTACAGCTCCTCCTCGGCGCGGGCGCGGCGCTCGCGCTCGCGCGCGCGTTCTTCGTGCGTCGTCCCCGTGAGATGGTCCTTCAGGCGGCGGCCGAGGGATCTCCTATCATTGTCTTCTTTCTTTTTTGGGCGAGGGGGAAGTGCTGCTGCTGATGCTGATGAAAATGGGTCGTCGTCGTCGTCTGTATCGCTGTCCTCGGCCACGATGTCGGCCGTGCTCGGGCGGCGGTGCATCTCGGTGGCGGAGTGGCCTGTGGCGAGGATGCGCTCGCGCTCGGGAGCGGGCAGGGAGTTGAGGTAGACGTCGTCGTCGTACGGGTGCTGCCAGATGGAGCGTGGCGGGGTGGCCGTGGTGTCGACGAAGAACTGGTGCTGTGTTTCCGGGTCGAAGTCGCGCACCCACCCCGCCGGTAGGGGCCGCAGTTCGTCTTCCATGCTGCGTCGCGCGTGGAGCGGGATGCCATTGCGCGGTTCCTGCGGCAGGGAGTGCGGGTGGTCTTTGATGGCTTGTTCGTACGAGGGCGGTGGATCGGAAGGGGTCGTCATATTGGATTAGATATGTGTGTGACTATGTGTTGAGCTGGAACGTTGGTAGTTATGCAGGAAAGTAAAAGTCCGGGGTGAAATTGTGCTCCGAATGCCAGTTCTGGTTGCTGAACTTGACAGAAGGAATGGTGGTGGATGTTCATGATACTCAGGGTCTTAGTATTGAGAGGTGATACCTAGTTTGATCTCATGCCGTCGTGTTGGCGCAGCTACGTCATGCGACGTCATAGGGGTCCAGGGGAGCACTACACCACGCAGGTTCAAGTGTTGCTACTTGTTACACAAAGGGATCTGTAAATCCCTAATTGATATTTTACATTCCAAAAACAAGTCCGTGTAGGGGATGTCATATCGAAAGTTCGAAAGGTCGTTCGCATCAAGTGTCGTCTGTAAAGTTCGGATCCTTCCGACCTACGTATCTACAACCCATGTGATAGGCTTGCATGTAGTACCACTAGCGATCAAGTAATAACGATCAATTTGATTAAATCAGATCGGAGATTCAATTGCCTAGAACCATTTATACACCGACGGATCCGCGTTCTTCACCAGCATTTGCGCGTACTCGTCAAACCACTCGCCCGCCCTTGGAGCTCCCGTCAGGCCACACTGCCCGTCGCTTTCTCCGCCGGGCTTGACCCAAACCAGTGCGTCCACGACGGTGTTGTTGGTGCTGGTGGTGGGCGCGGGGCCGAATCCAGCGGGGAAGACGTTGCACCATTCGCCCCTGTTTGTGCAAAGGGGTGTGTTAGTTAATGTTCTGTGACGCACAAGGAAGGGATTATAGCATTTTATAAAGCTTCACATACCACTCCTTCCGGGCCCCGGGAAGCGCCACACGGCCCTGGTCGACGATGAAGTGCGCTGGGAGGCCGTTCTCCTGCAGATGCGGCGCCAGGGACGTGGCGTAGTGCGACTCGTCCCACGAGTTGCTCCACTCGGTGTAGTTCTCGCGCACGACGGCGTTGAAGGGGTTGTAGTTGGACACGTTGGTGACGAAGCCGCGGACCTTCTTGCCCTCGCCGGCCAGCTTCACCACCTCGGCGAACTCCTTCGCGGCCAGCGGCAGGTTGTCGTCCCACCCCAGCCACCCACCGTGCGCCGCATCCATGTACAGATGGACGTGGTCGTACTGCAGGCTGGCGATGGCGTGCGCAATGCCCTCGCGGTACGTTGGCGCCGCCTTGGCGCACAGCTCGACGCCCATGTTGGTGACCAGGTTGGCCAGCGAATCCGGCTCCAGCACGATCGCGAAGCTGAGGTCCTTGGCGGCGGCGACCTTCTCGGCGTGCGGCTTGATGAATTCGTTCTTGTAGCGCTCCAGGCCGTTCTCATCGCTGTGCAGCTCGCCCGCGCTCTCGCCCGCGCTGCAGTCGCGGTCCGGGAGGTTGTAGAGCACCAGGCCGACGATCTGCTTCTTGCCGGTCTTCTTCTGGGCCTTGCGGGCGGCCACGATGGCGTCGTCGATGTTGGAGAGATCGGCGATGCGGGACACCCACACGAACGAGCCCATGGTCTGCTGGATCTTGCGCACCTTGAGCGAGTTGGCGATGTCGCCCTTCCACAGGAACGACTTAAAGGTCTGATCCAGCTTGGCTGCCCACTTGGGGTTGACAAACTGTGCCTTGCCCTGGAAGGGGTTCACGTCACCGCCGGCACTGGTGGCCCGCGGCTCCTTGATGCTGGGAGCGGCCGAGACAAGGCCCCCGGTGGCGAGGGCCGCAAGCAAGGACGAGGCACGCATGGTGAAGAACCGGTGGCACAACTCAAGCAGTTCGACAACGCAGAAGGGAACCCAAAGACTCCATCTGGAGCCGTCTGCAAGGGTGGTCTTTATACCCAGCTCAGCACGATTCATAACGTGATGCGGCTTCTCATCCTCCGGGTACCGGGTTGATGGGCCGTGGGTGAGCGGCTGATTCCGTGGGTCCAGGTGCCATGGCTGGGTCGATACCGTTTACCCGGTCGTCTCGAATGGATACCTTTGTTACGTGCTACTGTAGTGCCACGGACAACGATGAGGACGACCCGCCCGGAAGGGAACTACACGTGTATGTGTTGGATGCCAAGACATTGGTCGAAAGTGCGGCTCCGGGTGTGTAGCCGAATATCCGCAAGCCGCAACTCCACCAGTCCACCTCGACGACGTTGACCTCGGCTCATGGCGAGCTCATGAGGCTAAACAACCGGACGGATCACAATGGCCGATCTTCCAGGATACTTGTTGCCATTCTGAATCGGTTGGGTCGTTCGCCCCACGTCCTGAAATATTCGTCCGGGAAAGCGGCCTGAAAGATGAAAGAGCTGGTCTTCTCGGCTCTTGGACACGAAGATCTGTCGTGACACAATCCAGTTCCAGTACCCTATCAACGCCCGCCAGGGTCGGGAATGCCTTGGAGGGAGTCTGTTCATGAAGCCCCGGCTTAGCCATCGTCTTGTTTGTTGAAGATATTCCGTCTGTATTGTCTTGGTTACACAAGTCTAGGACAAGACGGCACTGATTTCGGAGGGTCATTTCCGCTTGCCTGCCGCGCCTGCGAACGCAGTGGGTCAAGGGCCTTGGCGTACCTCGACGTTCCTGATCAACATTCAACGGAGAATTTACCAATGTCCCAACAAACAGTACAATCGGCATTTCATTTGCTCCCAACTGACCAGGAGTTGTGACCTTCAGGCTGTAGCGAGTGATTCGGGAGTAGGATTGCTTCAGGATGAGCGATAATCATAATAAACGACCGTCGTCTGATGTGCGATTCGGGACTTTCCGATGTGGTGGGTCCGGCCCGCACCGGATCTCGGATTCAAGCCAGGAAAACCGGGTGAGTCTTCCGGATCCGTTTCTATCTTCAAGTTCCACGGCATCAGCAACCCGCCAAACCTGAAAGCTGCGGGATGCCAGAGATGGGTTGATCATATGACCGTATAATGGCTACGGTGATTCGAGGCCTGCCTCCACTCTTCGCGCGGGCGACTGTCCGAAGCGCGCGCCGGTCGATGACCACCGCAGCGGCAACAGGTTCGACTAAGGCCCGGGTAGCCGTTGTGTTCCAGGCGCTCGATCCGCCAATCATCAACGGTGTCCGGAAGCCCAAGAAGCCGAATGGTCGGTACCTCTCTTGATTAGCTAATACTGGTAGTGACCTTCTTACTGACTACTGCAGGCTACCGCGATTCGGGCGCAGACATCGCCTACAACCTTCGCCAAGTCGAGGGTATTAAGGTGATTTGCCCCGTGCCCGATCCCAAGCCGGACAGGGACGTGGATTGGTGCTTCCAGGACACGGAGGAGGATATCCTGCAGGCCCTCGATCAGGGCGCCACCCATCTCTGGGCCAACACCATCCTCTTCGCCGCTCACCCATTGCAAACGTCCGTCCGTATCGGCGCCTTCCAGGACAAGGCGTGCGTGGTCGGCCAGGGGCCCTTGGCCATCGAGAAGTACGATGACAAGAACTACGTCAACAGTCTGCTCCGGCGGGCGGGCGGTTTCACTTTACCTCGCTCGTGGACCATGACGGCTAGTTCCTCGAGTAATATTGGCGAGGCCCGTTTTCCACGGTCACTACTACCATTGGCGAAGGAGCTTCCGTATCCCATCGTCGCCAAGCCGATCCGCGGGCGGGGAAGCCACGGCGTGCGCGTGTGCCACAACATGGACGAGCTAGTCCAGCACGCGCCCAGGTTGTTCGAGGAGTCGCCCGCCATTATGGTCGAGGAGTTTCTCGCCGGCGAGGAGGCCACGGTGACTGTGATGCCGCCCCTGCCCGCCGTGGGCAAGGCCGACTACTGGGCGCTGCCAGTGGTCACGCGCTTCAACCACGTCGACGGCATCGCCCCCTACAACGGCGTCGTTGCCGTCACCAAGAACTCGCGCGCCGTCACCGAGGCGGAAATGGGCGACGACCCGACCTACGCCTAGGTCATGGACGAGTGCGTGCGCGCCGCCCGTCTGCTCAGAGTTGCTGCGCCGATCCGCATCGATGTGCGCCGGCTGGACCAGTCGCCGCGGTCTAAATTTGCGCTGTTCGACGTCAACATGAAGCCGAACATGACGGGGCCCGGCCGGCCGGGCCGAGACGACCAGGCTAGCTTAACCCTGATCGCCGCCGCTGCACTGGGCTGGGACTATAAGACGTTGCTGAGCCACATGCTGATGACTTCGTGCCCGCTAGCGACGCTCAGGGGTTTGAAGCCAGTCAATTCGGGCAGTGAACCGTGATGTGTATGTCCAGGAGGTATCAATCTGAATCCTGATTAGATACTGAGCGCCTGTTACTCGACCCTTTACCGACTATGCCAACCGGGTGAGAGTTCCGCCTCTAATGCGGGGGGCAGACGCCTGCTTTCTAGGGCAGACAATAGAACACTGTATGTAGTGTTGGCATCTAAACTGAAAACGTAGGTTTGTATTCGTAAAATTGCTGGAGAATTGGCTAGCAATTCGCAAGCAATTGTCCAAGGCGAAACAAGATTCGACAAGGGGGCGTGGGAATAACCGGGCCCCGAGCGGTTGGTCATCGAACGCCGGCTCCCGTTCCCCACATTGCGGGGCAAACTGCTCGGCATCACATCAGAAACCGCGGGTCCTGACTAATGCCTGTGAAATGACCAGCGTCGGCCCGGCCGTCATTGACATTTCTCGACCCGCGAATCGAATGATAAACTCAGATCTCCATTGCCTCCACCATCAATTGATGCGCCTGTGATCCAATTCAGTACAGAGACTTTGACACCACCTGCGCAAGTCTGAACCTGAACTCGCCGCTTGAAGCCTTGCTTTGCGCCGAGTCCAACCCCGCGCTCTTACAATGCCGAGCCCCGCGATAGAACACATTCAGTCCGACGACCGGACCCGGCTCCCGTCCTTCTACTCCCCGCGGACGACTGCGAGCGGCCCGTCACGCAATAACCAAGACGTAGAACAAGCCGACTTCTCCATCTCCTTCGGCAACCCCGCGTCCAGGAGCGCGAATAACCAAGATGACGCATCACAGCCAGAGACGCCATCCACACAGCCTCCACCACCAGTATCCCTTCTCTCGCCCGCATTTACACCGCCAGCAACGCCGGGAACAGCGACACCAAGCAGTGCGCCACCCGAACCCCGCGGCATACCCGTCGACAGCACGATTCCGACAGGAGGATGCGGCACCAAGCAACCGCGGCTGCTCGAGACGCTGCCGCAAGTCGAATGCATCGTGCGCGCGCGGATACCGACCACCACGGGGGCCGAGATGTTCCTCCACCTCTACACCAACAACGTAGATAACAAGGAACACTTGGCCATCGTGTTCGGCAACAACATCCGGAGCAAGTCCCTGGACGCCGTGCGCGAGGGCGAGACCGAGATGGATCGCTTAGTAAGAGGCGCTTACACCGGCCGGCTATACCCTGGGAGAACTACCAGCGGCACAAACACGCCCTCGCTTGAAAGCACTAGCGCCAATGAACAATCCGCACACGGGCCGCCGCTCGTCAGGATACACAGCGAGTGCTACACGGGCGAGACGGTGTGGTCGGCGCGGTGCGACTGCGGCGAGCAGCTGGACGAGGCGGCGCGGCTGATGTCGCTGCCCGGCAACAAGGCCGGCGGCATCATCATCTACCTGCGGCAGGAAGGGCGCGGCATCGGGCTGGGCGAGAAGCTCAAGGCGTACAACCTGCAGGACCTGGGCTCCGACACGGTCGAGGCCAACCTGCTCCTGCGCCACCCGGCCGACGCACGCAGCTACGGCCTGGCCACGGCCATGCTGCTCGACCTCGGGCAGAAGGAGATCCGCCTGCTGACCAACAACCCGGACAAGATCCGCGCTGTCGAAGGTCCCCACCGCGAGATTGTAGTCAAGGAGCGCGTCGCCATGGTGCCGCTCTCGTGGAAGGGGAGGGGCGGGTTTAGGGCGCCTGAGGTGGAGGGCTACTTGAAGACCAAGGTAGGGAGAACCCGGTTCTTTTCCAAAAGACTATTGATCCGTTCCAAAGCTAACTTTGGATTACCCCTTGCCGCAGATCGAGAAGATGGGTCATATGCTAGATTTGGCAAGCCTACCGCGCTGACGCATCATATATGCACGCCGCGGCTTGTAGATTCTTGTGTATGTGTCATAGATACCTTGTGCATTGGCATTGGCGTTGTTCTTTTGGGTAGACATTGGATCTGAAAACAAGGACATTGTGTACCGTCTCAGCTTGAGGTGGTGTTGATTTAGATAGCAATGTAGCCTTATCGATAACCGGATGGCCCAGAAAAGTTATCACGTCGTGCACGCGTCGAGCTGCCAAGACACCGAACCGCGCATCTCGTTCCGTAAGGTACAGTAGCTTCAAGCTCCTCGCCCCGAGCCAGCGTACAACATCCTGGCAACAAACCCAACAAACAAATACATCACAGTCTCCTCCATTCCCAGCATGAGAGACAGCAACAGCCTCCGGTTGCGGTTGGTCGTGCGACGCCACGAACTCCCCGAGACGCGGGTCGTCTTCGCCGTGCAGCTCGACAACGACCCCACCATCGCGAACCTGCTTGAGCAGGTCGACGACATCATCCCGCTGGAGAGCAATGACTGGGGCCTGGAAGACTACGTCGTCCAGCTTCGCGACGAGATCAATGGCCGTGGCTTCGACTGCCTGCATTTTCAACAGGTCTCGGCCATTTTGAGAGATAACGAGGAAGTCTTGTGAGTGCCGATACATCGAATATGACGGGAACGATATGTTGACGTTGTTTTCTTTTGCACGTTTAGTATCCGACCCCTTGACACTGGTGACCGGCGAAAACGTCGGTTGAGTGGGAGGGACCAGATCTCGGCAGACGGCAGGCACCTTATCGACGGGGTAGCGTTCGGCCGTCCGCGCCTCAAGACCCCAAGAGACCGACCCCCCGTTGATATCCCTCCTCTGAAGCGCCGGAGGATTACCTATGAAGCCGAAAATGGAGTTGAAGAGGACGGCGACCAAGAACCGCAATTCCTTCTTACCCAGCATGGCGAAGATGATAGAGCCGGGCGACGTGTGCGCATCCACCCGAGTCCCAGCAACGCTCAGAGTGACGGGTCCGAAGGCCATGATGAAGATGAAGACGACGAGTTCGTGGACAATGACGACGATGTTGATCAGGGTTCAGATGCGAGCGGGCAAGATTCCGACGTCAATTACCCCAGCCCGACTGAGATAGATAACGAGCTCGAGGGTCTGCGGGAGGATAACGAGCATTTTATTCTAAGACATGGAGAGTTTACGAATTTTGATAGCTCATCTCAAGCCTCGGATAGCTCATATCAGCTCTCTATACAACAAGAACCTAGTCGACCGGAATTAATTCCCCCAAACAAACTCCCCAGACCACTCTCAACCAAGGGCAAGACGCAGATACTTCGAGCGGCTTTCCCGACGGTTTCGTTCAAGGCTTGCGGAGCTGCCTTGGTCCGCGGCCGCGGAGACCTCAAACTGGCCTACCGTAGCTTGCAAAGGCGGCACCAACCGGCCCTGTCCGTTGACGCAATGCTTGGGCAATCCGATCGTCATCCAGCCAAGCCCGCGGCAACGGAGGATGCCGAATCCGACAGCGAGGCGGAATCGGTGGCGTCCGTTGTGAAGCACTTCGACCAACACGGCTTTCCCAGTGGCTCCATCCTCGCCGGGACCGCCGCCGCCGAGGTGGCCGAGGCCCTGCGCAAGGCCGGTCACGCTGTGAAGCCTCCGGTTCATACCAGATTCGATGAGGATTCCGCCCCAGTCGACGCCGCGCAAGTGCCGTTGCCCGCGTCGGGGTCAGAGAACAGCGAGAGCGATAGTGATAGCGATAGCGACGGCAGTCCGGAGGTAGCATCCTCAAAGGTGCCCGAGCCAGAGGGAGGCGCCAAGCTCTCGGGGTCCGATGGTTCGTCTATGTCAGAAGACAGTGACAGCCAGAGCGGCAGCAGCGACGAGTCGGAGAGCGAGGGCGAGAGCGACAGTGGCAATGACAGTGGCAGTGACAATGATGATGACAGCGATCACGGCAGTGATGCAGGCAACGTCGGAGGTCACACTGATGCCAGCGACGACGACAGTGGTGGTGGCGAAGGTGATAGCAGTGATGCCGAATACAGTAGCAGCGAGAACTCTAACAGCAGCGTCGCTGATAGCTCGGCCAGTGAGAATGAGAGCGATGCGGCAGATTCATCCAACGATGACGACTCATCGGACGACGACTCTTCCGACGATAGCGCCGATGAGGCGTCCAGCCAGCCCTCGGCTGAGAAGAAAGCTATTGCCACGATCCCTTTGAACCAGGCTGCTCAAGAGCCGGGCCCTGAAGAACCGGAATCTCATGCTACGAGCAACTCCACGGCAACCCCAAAGCCAGTTCCGCCGGGGCAAGGGAAGCTCGCTACGCAACGTAGGAACGCTAGGAGAAGAGCTGCACTCAAGGCGCAGAAGGCTGCGGCTAGAGGGGAAGGCTTGCCGGCACCTGACCAGACTGCTTCTCAGGAGATAGCCAGTGTGGGAGCTCTCGGACGGGAGTCATTCGCCGAGAAGAAAGCTGCATTGCTTGAAATGCTCAATATGCCGTCAGAGGCATCTGCTAAACAGCCGAGCCAGGTGAACAGCAAGCAGGATTCCCAAGATGTTCCGGGTCAGAAAGAGGATGCCGAAGACGATGGGGCAGCGAAAGATCCAGAAGCATGGCGCGACAAGATCATTTACCGTGCGGTGGAATGCTGTCACGACGACATGGAGCTCAGTGAGCCGCCCTTCCCCTTCGTCCAGGGATGGGATCCGCAACAGCAAGAGTTGCGCGGGCGCAGGAACCAGCGCGGCGGGCGCTCGAAACGGAAGCAGCGTGACCAGTCACAGTTCCTTGACGAAGAAGGCCGCTCAGCTGCGAAGAGACAGAAGTACGCAGGCTACGGTACTTATGGCAATGATGACAACTCGTTCTACAGCAACGGCGGCGACGCTGGGGTTGACGATACGGAACTCAACTATGACGACGAACCGGAGGAATCTGCACAGCAAGCAGAGCAGGCGCCAGAAGATGCGGATGAGGAAGATCTGCCACCAATTCCAACCGATGTGTCAGCTCTACCCACACTCGAACCCGGCAAGGCCAGGCCCGGCATGATCCTGACATGGAAGCAGTGGCTGCTCTCCAAAGCCACCAACTGGCAACCTCAAGTATCCTCCCTGACAGGCGTCGTGGTCGATGTCTTGGATGATAACAGCTTAAAGCTTCGTCTTGCTAGGCGAGATCGGAAACTAGACCGCCCCGAGAAGACCTACGATGAGGAGGGGAACCGGGTCTATGACAAGTTCGAGCTCCCTGGTATGGAAGATGAAGAAGGCGAGAGCGAGGACGAAGCCGCCGAGCAGGGATATCGCACGTTGGAACTCGCGGATATGATTGAGCCTCGCATCCTTCAACAGCCTCCTTCCTCGGCAGCGGAGGCCCCGGCAGCGGAGGGCGAGTCTCCGGAACCTCAACCATCTGGTTCTGTGGAGAGGAGTACAGTGCATGATGCAACAGCCAATGCTTCAGACAACAGGAGCCCCTCTGCACCGGATCAAATTGAAGCAGAACAGGTAAGCGAAGCAATCGGTTCTCCAGACGCGGACATTGATGTCGCACACGGTGATCAAAGCATTGTTTCAGAGACGTCCGGTGCACAAGAACCTGCTGCTATTTCGATCTCGGACGACCGTCGGCACGAGATCAGCGGGCTCATCAATGATGCTGGCTTTCGAAGGGAGGTTGATCCTTCAGTCACCAGCAATGTCGGCTTGGACCTGAGCAGTCCGTCGCGACAACTGGAAGAAGAAACCATCCTGGAAACCGGCGGTTTCTCCGAAGGTTCGCAAGACCAAAGCCAAGCGACTCCGAAGCCGACCTGTCAAGCGACCTCGACTTCTAACAATGTCGACTCTCAGCCTATCTATCTCGAGCCGTTCCGCGGCTTTTCGGATCCCGTCTCGGAACCTCCCGTAGCCTACCCCAAGCTGGAGCTACCGCCCTCCGAGACAGGCAGCCTTCACAGCGGTCGGCAAGTCGACCTCGACTTCAGCATCGAACTCGGAGAGGATACTCTTCACGATATTGACGACGCTGCCGGGGAGTCTCGCTCCACCTTGGGTCGGCGTAGTAGTGACGAGCAATTACCCCCTAGGAAGATGCCGACGAAGCATGACAGCAGCTCGGACTCGGAGGCGGAGTCATCCGTCAGCTCCGTTCCATCGCTCAGTCAGAACTGGGCATCGGCCTCAACCAATAGATCCCATTCACCCAGCAAGCGCGATATTGAGTCCGCCATCAAGGCCCGCAAATCCGAGGTTGCCCCGGATCCGGAGTACGAGGCGGAGATGCGGCGTCCAGAAGATGCCGACGACATGTTTGATGAGGAAAACAAGTTCTCACAGCTCGCTCAGGAGCTGGTCGAAAAGCCCATCGAAAAGCGGACGCCGAAGAAGCAGCCGGCGCAGCAACAACGAAACGAAGGTCCGAAACCCTCGACTACTCCATCTCGCATCAAAGCGGAGCGCGCATCCCCGCCCGCTCGGATCAAGGCGGAACGCGCAACCTCCTCTTCTTCCAGAAAGTCGCCGTTCGTCGTCCCGGAAGGGTCCCAGGTCGTCTCGCTCCTGAGTAGCAGTCCGGAGCCAGAGCTGGAAGAGCACTATGCCGAAGACAGCATCGACGAGACATGTGCGGAGCCGAGCTCAAGTTTGCCCGACGGCTCGGGCTGGGTGCAGAAGAACAAGAAGAAGGAGAAGATGAAGAAGGAGGCGCGACCTGGGCGGGGGCTGGGCGGCGGAAGGAGGGTGCCGCCGCCGTCGTCGGCGCCCGCGGCGGTGTCTAGGCGGGCGGTCTCGCGGGAGTCTGCTGCTGCTGCTGCTAATGGTGGTGGAGGTAATAAGGAGAGGAGTGGGGATGGTATCAAGCGCTCGATATCCGGGTCTCCGGCGGTAAGGGATGCCTTGCTTAAGGCGAGGAGGAAGGTGTTTGGGAATATTCTGTGAATGGTGCGACGGGACCGGATTTACCCATTGCCTGTGACGGCGCATCGGCGCATCGCTATTGTGTATCATTATTCAGATCATGATTGTGTCCCTAGAACACAGTGGAGGTCTCAGGTGGCTCTTGTATTGTCGGTTCTGGTGGATGGATGAAACATGTGCATACCTGTACCTTACGGAACATTGGCACATTGAGATGGTATGCTAATGGGTTATCATTGGGCGGTCATTCTCTTTGCTTTGCATTAGTAGCCTACCTGGGTAGTTGAGCAGACTCTTGTGGGGTGGTTGGCCGTAGGCTACTCAGGGTACCTTATACTCTATGTAAGTGTAAGGCTTCCGGGCTGGTTGACCAGGACTGGAACAGGAACATGTGCTGATTCGGCTCGGCTCGGTTCGGTTGGATGGAAACCTACCGAAGATACCTACAGTAGGTACCTTATATGATACGCTCTGCTGAGCTGACTTCACCTCTCGGGCTGTTATCAGGGCTAGGGCAAAGAGGTAGTACTAATATTGGACTTGGGGCAGCCGTGTTGTGAGCAATCGGCTCTGGATGTCGTGTTGTCATTATTTCAAGTACTGTCAACGGCGTGGTCTATGATCTCTGCATATTCCTTGGTTCTTTCTGTTCGCCTTGGAAGCAATCTAGTTACGACTGTGTAGGAAACTACGGTACCTTACCGGTGTCTTCCTAGAAGATTCACTCCTTCCTTGGAGCTGGAGTATTTAACGTACCTGTTCAGAAATGCTCAAGACATGGCAAGCAGGTGTAAGGCAGAGTATCATGTAAGTCTACCTACCGCCCACCCTGACCTGAAGTCTCCGAAGGTCTCATGTTGAAGGAAATTGCAATTCCTAGACCGTTACTGTGTACAGCCACACGCCTTGTTGGTCTCAGAGACACAGAGAAACTGCTGTTGGGGCGGAAAAGGGGCAACACTACAACGAGGGGCGGGTATCGTTTTCCTTTCCAGGACAGTAACTGCTAATGGTTACTAGAAGATACGTTAGCCATAAAGTAACTTCGTATGGTGTTGGCATGTTCAAACTCACTGGTACAATACCCTTGTGTTGTGACTGTTCGGCAAGAGCCAACTTTTCCTGCAGATCCCTATGTCCTGGTTTGTAGTGAACTTCCAAGTAACTACCTAGGTACCTGGTGAGCTGAACTTTAGACTCCTTATCCTGATATTGGTAGCTACTCTGTAGTTCAAGGGGGGAGAGGGCGAGGCAACCTGCTGTGGCCCACGAGTAGGTAAACTACTACGGGGTGGCATCAAAGAACGGGGGTATAAGCCCGCCTGGCGGGCACTCCTTCCAATACTCGCCGCAACCACACGCACATCATCATGAAACTCTTCATGGCGTAGTGGTCGAGCTGTGAGAGATTGTCCAACATCCTCCGCGTGCACAGTCTCTTTTCTATAATTTCCCTGATTGTCGAGACGGGGTACACTGTAATCGCTTCATATCTCTCATACCACTTGGAGATCTTGATACTCGATACTCGCGGTCCTACTTACCTGGGTAGGTATGTACTGTAAGTAAGCCAGATTAAGTCTTGCCTTCACCTGTGTTCCCTTCAAGCTGGCCGCTACAGTCCACTGATCCCTTCTCATCATCATAATCCCTCACGCAGCGGAGGGCAGCCTGATATTCCATACAGGTAGCGATATAGCCGGTCTTACCCTTCATGGGCGTTCCGGAAGGTGGATGCAACGGCCTCTCCCCGCTACCGACTTTACGCATCATGCCACCGTTCACATCCGGGAGCACACATCATGTCCGCGTATAGGTTGACGTTGAAAGTCATTTAGAGATGGAATAGGTATCTAATGCGGTATCAACACATCTATACGGAGGTAGTACTCGGTGGGCCCTGAACATGGATAGGAATGCGGATGAGAAGGCTAGAGGATATGGCACTACCGCTAAATCCAACGGCATCAGTAACGGAGTGGTGATGTCCAGGGAAGCCTGGGAGTGAGCGATGCGCCCTTAGTGAGACCAGGGACGGCGGTCATGGGCAGAACACCATGTTCAGGTCGAATGCATCTTCGAGCTCATTCTCGCCGGGATATCAAGCTTGTTACACGCCGTTCGTTGAGCTCGTCTAATTCTTCTGGTTCCCGTAACGGATATGTTCTCAGGCCGGTCGTTGATACGGGCACACACTGTTTGCAGGGTGTTGTAGAAACAAGAAGTCGAGCAAGGCAAGCCAGAGACAGGAATATCGTTTGTTTCTCTCTCGAACTTGTGCTTGGCACTGCTTCATTTGTTGCCTCGACATGCGGACCGCCTCGGACACGTCCCTTCTTCTCCGGGACCCTGGGAGCCCGGAGCCGCCTGGAGTTGGTAACCGACGACGCCCTGTATTGAATGCTAGGTTTTGCCAGAATCATCGAGTCCCTGACCATCACGCCTCCGTCATGAATTCCAGTTGCATGTGTAACGGCAGTAAAAAAGCTTTGCCAGATGCAACAAGCAGTCCAGGGTAATGCACAAAGCCCACAGCCATCGTCCGCCCCTTGCCCAAATACCCGGTATAGCAGACGACGCCAAAAGAAAACGCCAACCGTTTATTTCTCCTTCTTCGACTTCGCACCCTTGACCTTCGCCGTGCCCCGCAGGGTCTTCTGCCTGTTCTTGCGCTGCTTGCCTGTGTGCGGGAAAGAGATAACGTCAGTCAACGCCATTCGCGGTCACCCATTGCTGCTTCTGGACAACCCTCCAACAGCTGTCTGCACCGCGGGGGGGGGGGGGGGGGGGGACGTACGCTGCTGCCTGCTCGCCTTCTCGACCTTGGTGGCCAGGCCGACGCGGACCAGCCTGTAGTGGGGCTCGAACTTCTTCATGGCCTCGGGGGAGTCGTAGATGAGGGCGAAGCCGGTGGTCTTGCCGCCACCGAACTGGGTCCGGAGACCGAACACGCTGACCTGGTCCTTCTGGGCCTTGTACATGCCGGCGAGCTTGTCGCGGAGCTCATCCTTGGAGATGTTGGCGCGGTTCGGGTGGAGGATGTCACTGCGCGCGAAGAACAAGGCCGCCGGGTCAGCAAGATCAATTTCTCCATCGAGCCAGATTCAAGTCAAGCAATCCCCAATCCCCCCCGTCCTCCATACCCATCGTATGCAGTCGGTTCGCAGAGATTCGTCCAAACAATCCGTCGCGCGAAAAGTGCTGATGGAGGGGACGGGGGTCGCGGGCAGAGCGGGAAATTGGTGGGAGACTCACACGACCATCTGCTTGCGGCCGAGCAGAGGGTTGCGGATGAACTTGCGCGTGCGCAGCGTGACCGGGGAGTCGGAGTCGGCCATCTTGGCGGTTGTGATGGCGGTCGATGTTGGCGATACTTCCACGATCTCGGGACCAGGAAGGTTTCGAAGTCGGATTTTCCCTTTGGTGGTGATTTTTGCAGGGTGCTGCGCAAGGGTGGGTCTCGCAAAAATCCAGTCACGGGATCGGTTAGCGAGCCCTAATCTGCGTGTGGCCTCGATTTTTAGGCGACACATGAAGGTGGGGCCATTCTCGAATTCCAGTCTCCACAAATCTTCCCAATCCCAAGTTATTCCCAACATCGCAGATGCAAGCATGCAGCTCTGGGGAACACAGTTCTCACATCGGCCGGGTCAATTCACATATATGTATCGGACTATCATCATTGTAGAAAGGACCTCTTTGCTCGGCCCTTGGCAGGACCGGAAATGACAGAAGGCTCACGACCAACCCATTTTCCCGACACCATTGCAAGAAGTCTTCGAAGGTCTCTCTGTTCCTTTCCGTCGCCGCAATCAGGATGGTAACTCCAGGGAACAAGATTGCAAGGTCCCGCAGCGTTGGGCCAAGGCAGTGTCTCGACGTCCAGGAGTCGTAGGTGATGTCGGCGCCGACAACCATGTCCACCCGTTCTCCTCTCCATTCACTCCCCCCGGTATCGTCAGGGAGAAGACTGCCCCATCGCAACTGCCTGGCGGCGACTTTCTCAGACCCTCGAAGACCATTGAGGTTGAAATTCCGGGGAAGCTTCCTGACGACATCGTCAGATCCATCCGTCGCCAGGACGTGGCTGGCCCCGAGGTATTTGGCGCAAAGCACCGCGAGATACCCTGTTCCGGATCCCAGTTCGACGATCCGCTTGTCCCGCACAAGGGATGGGTTGGTACAGAGATACTGTCCGAGGTGCAGTGCCGCTTCCCAAGTCCGCAGCCCGGTGGTGCCTGCTCCTGAGATGAGAGACCGGGTCTCGAGGAGGGTGACATGCGGGCAGCGGATGGCTGGCGTTCTTTGAAGCTGCGACAGATGGTAGGTCACATGGCAGTCCTGGAGTACAGCTGTTTCCTCGGACGGCAGTGGTTGCAGAAGCAGATCCGTGAGGACAGACATGAGTTTGTCTGAGACGCCCTGTCATGGCCGTCAGCCCATCTCACACTTAGAATGATTTGCAGAAGCCGCACTGCTTACATGCTGGTCCCAATCCTGGATGGCGGACTCTATTTTGGCTACCAACTGCTTTAGGATCCTGAGTTGGTACCGTGGTGGTAGAGACGGCGCGGCGCCAGCGTCAAAGGCGAACAAGCCGTCGTATATTGCGTCTTGGACGCTTTCCTCTCGGAGCAATTCGTCGTCGGGGAAGTCTGGGGTTGGTTCCAGCTGCAAGACCTGCCAGCAAAAGCGAGAAACCTGCGGGTTGGTAACGAGCGCGGAGGACATGGCGAATGACTATCGGAGGTGACTGCGGCTCCTAACACCCCGTAGTATGCTCACTACGGATTGCAGACGTTCGGGCAGACTGGAGAAATCTAAGCAGCTAGGGTCTGGTGCCCAGAACCTGTGAGCGTTGCCAGCCGCTTACGGCTGGTGGGGATGCATTTATGGGCTCCAATGAAATGCTCGCAGCTGGCGCCGTACCTAGATCTACGACTCTTGCACCACCTAGGTAAGGTATGTATCGTACCTTTACTGATGGTTTTGTCCTTCACTATGCGAAACTTTGAAAGCTAACTGGACTCCGCATCATGATGTGCCCTAGATAGTGGACGCCAAGCAACTACTACTAGTTGTAGCACCAGGGAGTCTGAACTCTGAAGCCATTCCCCTACCTTTGGTTTGTAACGATGGGGGACGATGGGGGATATCTGCCCGAGGCTCTGGCCAAGGAAGCCTACATCCAAGGTTTCTCGCGTTCCTAGTATTCAACAGGAAGGGTCTGGAAGGGATTCAGGGGACCCGCGACCTCCAGCGAGCCATCATCGAGAAAGGTTAGGAAGGGATCTCCTGAGCTCAAGGGATCAAGCAGGTCATCAACCAAGTAAAGGCATGAAACAGGACAAGGTGTTGCCAGTCAAGCTGGCTGTTGAGTGGCCTTAAGCGGGTGTGGGTGTGGAAGACCGGGCCTGTTTGTGAGAGGCTGCAGGTGAGCACTTGAACTGCCATGCACAGTGCCAGACCATATCGTCTAACGTTCAACATGGCAGAAAGAAGATGGGTTTCCTAAGATATCAAACACATTCCTAGCTCACAGACGTCCCGTGATGCGGGTTAAGGGGTTGGATGTGTGGGATCTCTGGGTGTGGCAGAGCCAGTAGGCCGAATACCATGGTTAAACTACAGCCGGCGACGGTTACGGGAGGAGGTTCTACCCATTTATCATAGATACGAAGCCAGTTGAAGAACTAGTTTAGTATATCTCACGGATTATGCCCTCACTCTTCCTTCTCATACTGGTTCTCATCATCCGCCCAGTGACGCAGCAACCCAACATTGAAAGGTGGTCCCCAACATACGTCATCTGCCTTCAGTTTGGAGCGCATATGAATTGATCAGTGGTCTCAACGTATGTGAAACGCTTGCCAACGGGGGCGCCGGGGGGGGGCTGCTTGTAGAGCTGGGTGGCTGGAAAGACTAGATAGAACTAGAGCTATGGATGACCTGCGCTGTAGGCCGTATCTCCAAGCATGACTATTAAGAACCAAACGTGGGACCGATATCGGGAGGCCACCAGCCTAGGCATCGTGACTCCGTGCAAGCCGCACTCAATACATCCAGACATCAGACGGTCAGTGGCAACACGCCGTCAGGGGTTACTTGCGGGGGCAGTTGAGCAGCGAACAAGGGAACCTGTTCCTTATCGTCGACCGCTTGATGTCAGGCGTGATCCGATTTATGTTGCGCAGTGCCGCTTAACTGGTTGGGGCACTGAGCTAGCCACGGCGTCGAGTTGCGAGTGACTCGCATGGGAAAGTACCTCCCCCCCCCCCCCCCCCCCCCCCCCCCCCCCGTCAGGTACCGCTATATAAAGCAGCCATTTGCCACCACCGTTGACCTCCCTCAACAGCACTTCGTGACATTCTAATCCTTGAAGCTCCGGCAGACTTTCCGTTCTGAACCTTTATCCATTCGAGTAGTGTCGAGAACCTCAAAACACGACAATGACCAGTTACAAGTCACAGTATCGTAATGAAATCATCAAGGTAGGCGGCCCCAGGCGGTGCTGCCAATTCAATATCCGCGGACTAAACAGCCACCCCTACAGATGATGTACGTGGCCGGGCACACTGTTGAGCCGTCAGTCGAAACCACTAGCCTCATCGAGAGCATTGTCCGAGACGAGACTGCGAATATGGTGAGACAGATATTCAAACAAGCCTGATGAAAAAGAAACAGAAAGCCTATTGCTAACCTGGGTAAAAAGGTGGCAACAGCCGGCGAACTCGCCTCCCGCCGCGGCCAAGCCAGATTCACAGCCAACGACCTGCTCTTCCAAGTGCGGCATGACAGCAACCGGCTGGCCCGACTGCGTCACCTGATGCGGTGGCATAAACTCCGCAAGCAGGCCAAAGGAAAAGAAAGTGACAACGCAGGGCCAGAGGAGCTCAACGAGCTCATCGACGCGGAAGACGTAGACGACGACGACGATGGCGGTGACTCGACTACTACTATTATCAAAGACGACCCAGCCGAGACCGGCAGTAACACCACCACAACAAAGCACGTAGCCCTAGCCCAAGGCGCCCCTTCCCTCCCGCCCCTTCCCTGGTCCACCCCCTTCTCCTTCTTTTTCTCCTCCTTCTCCCCCCCGCACAACACCAACACCAACAACACCACAATAATAACAACCTCCAACACCATCCCATTATCCATCACCTCCCTCGCAACACAAGACGACATCACCAGCGAGCGCCAAGCCCTCCAGCACAAGCTAGAGCGCGACGACCTCCGGACGCGCGACATGTCCGCCTACGAGTACAACACCCGCTGGTCCGGCGCGCGGGCCGCGTCCTTCACTCACAAGCAGAGGACACGCTTCCGGGCGTGGTGCGGCCTGGGTGCCGTGGCGGATCACGCGGCCAGGGACGATGGTGTCTGTGTTCTGATGCTGGGGGCGCTGGCGCGCGAGTGGGTGCAGGATTTGACGGAGCGGGCTATGGTTGTTGCTGCTTCGCAGGAGAGGGAGGAGGAGGGGTGGTGTCTTACCAGTGCTGGTACTACTACTACCAGGGTGGGCGGGAAGAAGAGGAAGAGGGAGGGGGATGAGGTGGTGGAGGAGGAGGAGGCTCGTTGCAAGTTGCGGGGCGGCTGTCCCATCGAGCCGCGGCATGTGGGGAGGGCGTTTGAGCTACTGACTACGGCGAGGAAGGGGTATAGCGGGATGTCGAAGGGGATGCGCTTGGGGCAGGGGAAGAGGCGCAGGATGGTGAGTTACTAATACCGGAATAGAGTCGCTTGCATTTTCTTTTTTTTTTTCTTTTTTTTTTCTTTTTTTTTTTTTTTTTTTTTTTTTTTTTTTTTTTTTGCAGGTTGAACAGACTAACACGTTTCCTCCAGTTTTGAAAACGATAATCAAAACAAGAAGAGAAGAAAAATGAAGCAACGATGCATTGCGGCGGGATGATGTCCGTCGCCGGTTGAAGCAGTTGTTAAGTTGTTTGGAGTTAACACAACAACAACAAAGGTTGACATATATCTTGCCAGAGTCAAGTGCGGGAAGGCAGGAGATACAAACAGACAGACACCCTCCCTCCTCCTTTAACAAAGGCGTTATCGCCGTTTCCCCTCCCCCCTTCCCTCTTCTCCCCCCAAGCGGACCCCCTACCCCCTACCCTGAACTCGGCCAACTTATTAACAACCACCAGCAGCAGCGGTCTTGACATCATACACGGTCGTGCAGCCGATCTTGTTGCACGAGTCCGGGTCGCTGCACGGGAATGAGACCGTGGCAGTGGGCAGGGCCCCGTTACAGCCGCACGGCCGCGTCACCACGCTGGTCGTAGTGCACTGCGGCACGAAGCAGGAGCCGCACGCCGTCGCCGTCTTGGTCAGGGTCGGGCAGCTGACGGTGGTGCAGGGCTTGGTGGTCGTCACGGTTGCCGTTGCCGTTGTCGTTGTGGCCGAGGTGATGGTCTTTGTGTCGGTCTTGGTCTTGGTCGCGGTCGAGGTGAGGATGCTGGTGCTGATGATGGTGGACGTGGCCGTGACCGTCTTCTCGCGGATGTAGCTCTCCGTCTTGGTCACCGACACCGTGGCTGTTTCGGTCTTGGTGTCTGTCACGGTCACGGTCGACGTGGGGAGCCCTGGCCGCCCCGTGCGGACGGTCGTTGGCGTCAGGGTGATACCCCCCTGGCCGAGGGCGGCGCTGTTTGTTGTTGCGAGGGACGCAAAAGTCAGTTCTGATGGTGGGTTTGGGTATGGTAACAGCTTTCAGGCGGAACGGAAACCTACCTCGCGAGGCTGAGGAGGAGTAGCGTTTGAGACAGCATCTTGAGACCGGTTGCTGAATACAGCTATTGCTCGCTCTGTTAGAAGAAGTGGGTGTGTGAGCGATGACGTCCACTGGGGGTATTCCATCACTCGAGGATACTGTGTGGCATTTATGCTCAGCCCTTCTCCCGGACTACCCCGGTTTCTCGAGCGTGACAACTTCCCATCGTTGAGCTTGGCGTGAGCACTGAGTGGGAGTTCTGTATATTGATGTTTATATCACGGAGCATCTCCCATTGGCGATCCAGCCCTCGGCTCGACCGAAGAAGCAGCGCACAGTACATATCCGAACCGGGAGTGTTTCTGGTTCCTGGGAGGTCCCAGACTTTTGGTTTGACTTTCCGCCTCCAGCCCGCAGCTGTGATAGCATAAATAGAATCCACGTAACCCGGTTCTTCGCAACGCTGTACGTTAGGGCAGCAATATTAGGTTGCAGCAGTCCTGTGACTGGCGTGCCATTATCTGTGCGTTCAATTTCGCGGCTATATTGGAGTCGTCCTCTTTCCCGGAACTTTTAATCAACAGCAGCCTATAAATATCGACACGCATGTCGCACGCTAGGCCGTGTGCGGGCAGAAACGCGGAGAGCCGAGGCCAGTTTCCCGTGTTGAGAGCTTACATGGGATCATGGGCCGACGTTCGCAGCATCGACGGATTCGACACTGATGGCACCATGACGGTGGTGACGGCAGCTCAACTAATACCCCATACAGCAAAAGCGACACTGCTATCTATTTCCGTCCGTTTGGTGTGTTGGATGACACAGGAAAGGGATAACGGGAGTTGAAGGGGCTGCTAAATGATCATCCGAGGCGTCTACCCTACAGGACGGTCAATATCAAGATCAAGAGTGCACGAGCATGCATACAAGAGAGAGCCAGCGTCTGTTCTGCTTTGGTTTCAACACTTGGACTGTGTCGTATTTAGAACGACTTAGCTATCAACGCTGCCCCGTGGCCCATAAAACGCCTGCTATCGCCCCTATGACGTGCCGTTGCGGTGATCTTCGACCTCGCAGAACGCCTTGAAAGTGATAAACTCGTCATCGTCACTCGCGCCCTCCGATTCGAGGACACACTCAGCAGTTGCCCCGACAAAGAAGACATATCCCTCCTTGATCTCCTGGACCGTCGGCCCCACCGAGATCTTGCCCTTGCCGGCAGTGCAGATGATGATGCTGGGGCCGTCGACCGGGTCAAAGGTCGCCTTGGCTCCGCTGCCCCTGAGGTTGGTCCGCACCACGCTGAACTCGTCAATTGGGGGATCGTAGAGCGTGATGGCGGACCCGGAGCTGTAGGCTGTCCGGTTGAGTGTGGCGTACGGGTAGTCCACGGGGTGCATCTTCTGCTCATCGATGGGTGCGTAGTTGTAGGTGAGCATGTTGACGAGCGTGCCGACGTCCTTGAACTTCGGCGTGAAGCCCGCCCGCACGACGTTGTCGCTGCTCGCCATGCACTCGACGATGTCGCCGCTGACGTAGGCGTGGATGTCGTCGGCCCGGAGGAACAGCGCCTCGCCGGGCTGCAGCGTGACGTAGTTGAGGAAGAAAAGCACAAAGAGCCCGTAATCAGGCCCGAACTGGCCGTGCAGACGGGTCACCAGCTCGGCAAGAACCGACCCGGACGTGGCACTGACGCCGCCGCCCGCGAAGTCGGAGCCGGCGCTGGCGGTCGATTCGACCAGCACCTTGGTGGCAGCAGCCATGTCGGCTTCAGAGGACGACATCACCGCCGCAAAGACCTTTTGCAGCGCCTTCTTTCTCCGCTCTACTGCCTCCGCTGACTCATCATCCTTTGTGCTCTCCACGAGATTCGCGAACTCCTTGGCCTTGTCGTCGCCCACAAGCTGGCGCAGTGCAGGGACCGATCTCAGAAAGTGTGCTATCTCCTCCAAGGGGCGGAACCCGCAGAGGCCCTCAAACGGGGTGATGGCAATCGCCATCTCAGGCTTGTGGTTGTCGTCGGGATAGTTCCTCGGGTCTCGGGCGTGCAGCTGCTCGGCAAGCTTCTTGTTGGGGTGCGCCTGAATCGAGAGAGCCTTGCCGATGGAAAGGATCTTGAACAGGAACGGTAACTTGTTCTCGTAGCGGGCAGCAACTGATGATGCCAACAGTGCCTTATTATCCTGGACAAGGTCAAGCAAGGTGCGGCCGGTCGTCACGTCTTTGGACGGGTTGGACGGATGGGTCCCCATCCAGAGCTGGCGCCATTGTCGTCAGCCAACGCTTTCCTAGCAAGATAGCTCAAGTGGAAGAGGGAGAACGACATGCCTCCGCATATGGCCGATCATCTTGGACTGCGAAGTCGTCAGACGGCGTCGCCGCCGCGAACCTCGCAACTGCAGACGCGCTGCCCTTCTTCCCCCACTCATAGGAATTAGCCCCGCATTGGAGCCGAATGAGAGGAACCTGCATCCTCCGGGCTTGGACGAAACGTGGCTTCGGGCTCTCGTCGAGTACAAGGGTTGCGGATCTCTTATGACAGCTGAATCGCAGCGGATCGTTAAGCTTGGGGTGGGAAGAGGGGTCTCGAAGGTGGTTGTCTTGGTTGGAATGTGGATCTGTATCTGTACTCCCGAGTCTCCGCGGGGCTTGTGCCCCTCGTTTTACGTCACAGCTGGTACTTCAAGTTGTACTACATAGGCTGGGAGCTTGCTGACAGGGGTTCAACAAACTTCTGTGCTGAGGCTTGGTTTCCTCCTACAGCTAAGTTCAACCCAAACGAACCAAACAACGTCTGGTCCTATCGGAATGGTGAGACATACCGTCCACCCGGGTACACAACGCGCCAGCGTCAGGTAGTCGAACTCCTGGAAGCTGCGGTCGGATTGCGACGGGCCTCGATAAGCTTGATAAGGTGAGCTAGGGCGGGTCGTCGTCGCATCCCGCAGCGCTCAAGGTTCCCTTATTAGGTCGTAGAAGAGGATCACCCGTTGACGCGCCGAAGACACGCTTCCTCCCACTGAACCGCGAACAAGACAATAGCACATCGCCACCCGACACCAACTACCGTCGATACAAAGACAGAAGAACTCAATTAAGTCAACACGACATCCCAGCAGCATACGATACCTGACATTACGCAGGTGCATACCTAGAGAAGCACGTGGTTTGCACGCAAGGGAAGAACACTCTTTACCCAGCAAGGTGCCGCCGCTTACGCCATGTCTTCGCGCAACCGCAACTCACGCGGGCCGAACCGCAACAGTGGCACCACTCAGGGAGAGGAGGCACATTTGTGGGGCCAGATCCGAGACGACATCCGAAGCATGGTCGACGGCGTCAACAGCAGCAACGACTCGCTCCGCGCCATCGTGGCACAGGACAGCTACATTGCCAAGAACAAAGACGACATCGACATCGGCGCCGAGGAGCAGAAGCTCGACAACCTACTTCGGAGCGGCGTTAAGGGGGCCGACACGTCAAAGCAGCAGATAGACGCGCTCATCGAGCACGTCACCGTCCTGAGGGCTCTGGTCAAGGCTAGGGAGGACTCAGAAGCCCAGACGGCCGGTCCCTCGGGCCTGTCCGGTCGCGAGAGGCCAAGCGGGCTGCTGGCGGCATCGTCCAGGTCGGCATCGGCGCGTGCAGCATCTAGCGCGCGAGAGAAGGAGCGCGAGAGAGATAGTCAACGAGATCGCGATCGGGATCCCGGGTCGGTCTACGAGTTCGACGGTTCCGGCGATTCACCTGTGCCGTCCCCGGTTGGGAGAAAACTAGGAGGCAGCGGCGGGGCGGGTAGCGACCGTTCCGTCAACCGGGACAGCGTGCCTCCACGCGGCGGAGACCGTGATACGCCGGGGAAGGCTGATAGCGTCCCGCCCGAATCCGGCGCCATCGGGACGGCCACGGCAGCGCAGCGCGCGAAGATCACGTTCTTCAAGGGCCAGGACGTGGTCTTCAAGCCGAAGCCGGCGACCACTACAGAGAGCACGGAATGGATGCTCGGTCGAGTCCAGCAGGTCCTGGGCGAGGGCAAGTCACGGCGGTACAAGGTGCAGGACGCCGACCCCGATTTACCGCCAGATCAGCGGGTGGAGTACCGGACCAGCGCCAGCAGCATGATTCCGATTCCAGCACCGGGCGTGGAGCTGCCAGAACTCCAACCGGGCAAGACCGTGCTGGCCCTCTACCCCGATAGCACAATGTTTTACAAGGCCGAGGTGATCGGGACCGATGCCGCGACGGGTAAGACGAGTCTGCGATTTGAGGGTGAAGAAAACAACGTCACTCTGCAGCTCGTAGACAGACGCTTTGTTGTCGAGTACAGGAATTGAGTGGCGCCGTGTGCGGCAATGAAGCTTATAAGCGACCACCAGCGAGATAGCTTGCTATCAGGCGTGTGCATGTATGTATTGTACAACTGGTGCTGGTAGGGGGTGAGTGATGGAGATTGTCCTTCACTTCTCATTTTTGAAAGCCGAAAGCGTTGAGGCTCCATCACTCCATTCGACCAGGGGCTAGCCAGGATAAGCAGCCGGCTAACCGGAAACTGATTGGTCATAGATCCAGGGGTAAATTAACTTCGGCTCCACCCGGCTTGGGAACACAAGGTTCGAGCAATGCGGGTGGCCCTCTTCCATGTCAGGGGACAAAACGCGGCTCCAGCCTCCCGCGTGCACAACACCACCACCACCCACCGCCCTCCTTGTCCAAGTTTCTGAGACATCATTCGGACGTGAACAACGAAGGCCACAGCCGATCTCGACTTTGCGCGTTTGCGATAACAAACGTCCCGCAACGAATCGCTTGTCGTCCTCACGTCTCACGGTATGCGCTTGCCTGTCACGAATCCGTTGCCTTTCCACTTGTCCCGTTTCCCAGGGCTGATGGCCCGTTTGCGAGACATAAAATTGCCCGTTTGCTGACGCCAAGCGCACGTACCAGCCTTGCGATCCCGGCTTTCTCCTCGTATCGCTCATCGCCGAAGCCGATCAATCCAGGCAACACATCGAGTCTGCCTTCTCCCCCGCAACCCCTTGACCGTCAGATAGCGTGTCGCCGAAGACAGTGCAAGATCTCGTCCCTTTAGTCGACTCTCAACACCGAGAACGGACACTGGCCACCGCATCTCGTCGGCAAACCAGGCGTAGCAGAGAAGTCCGCAAGGACAGACATCGACCAAGATGGGGGCCTCCATGTCCATTACGAGCCTCTTCGGCAAGCTCTTCGGGTCCAAGGAAGTGCGCATTCTGATGCTGGGTCTCGATGCCGCGGGCAAGACAACCATCCTTTACAAGCTGAAGCTCAACCAGACCATGACGACTATCCCCACAGTCGGTTTCAACGTCGAGACCTTCACATACAAGAATATCAAATTCAACATGTGGGACGTGGGTGGTCAGGACAAAATTCGCCCGTTGTGGAGGCATTACTACAGCGGTGAGCACACCCGGGCTGGAGATGGTGAAAAGGTGATCGTGAGGAAGGCTAACGAACCAGGCAGGCACACAGGGACTTGTGTTCGTCGTTGATTCATCAGACCACGCGCGGATCAAGGAGGCAAGGACAGAACTGCACCGCATTCTCAATGACCTAGAAATGTCGGATTGCCTGCTGCTGGTATTTGCCAACAAGCAGGACCTCGCGGGCGGTATGCATTTGTTCCCGATACTTCACAATCTAGAAAAAAGGACCTGCTTGCTGACTTACTACGATAACAGCCATGGACATCAAGACAATCACCGAAAAACTCGAGCTCTCCAAGCTGGAGAAAAGGCCTTGGTTCGTACAGCCGGCCATTGCTATCCAGGGCGAGGGCTTGACCGAGGGCTTCGGCTGGCTCTCGGACAACATCAAGAACATGGCCAAGAAATAAAGAGCTAGATAAGACGGCTCGAAGAAGACGATGCGGATAGCGAGAAGGAACACGATCCGAAGCCCTCCTTCCTCTTGCATTCCCATTCCCTCGCCGATGCTCCAGATAACCGACTGAGGATGATGAGGTCGCCGTCGAAACCGTCAACCACCAAGGTTCTCACGTCAGGCCCCGACAAGGCCAGAAAGGTCGGCTCGCAAACCTGGGCTGAGACCAACCGGTGCAGTTGATAGCTGCCACTACTGATTTCGAGCTCGGCGGTAGTAAGAGCGGTCAAGCTCTTTGTTCATCTCTGGCGTCTTCAAGTTTCCCCTGGACACCTTCACGTCAGGTCCTGCCTCTGCTGTACCCCCCAGCCAGCCTACACTACACTACCCCATGCTGTTCGTTTTTTGTCACTAACGTCTCTGTCTGAACTTTACGACCAACCCTCCTTACTTATCCTCTTAATGTACGGGACTCTAATCTGTCTCTGTGTTGTTCCGCTTTTTTGTTCATCTGTTCTGCCAATAGCACCGTAGGGACTGCAGTCTATACCCCAGGGAGTGGAAGGAGGGAAGAAGATGGATGGATGGGCACAAGCTTCCAGCGTTCGGAGTTTGAGTATAATGGGAAGAAATGAAATCTGGAAACAACGTAAAAAGTCCGAATTTTGATGAAGCGCAGGGTGGCACTCTCCGCAAGTGAGATCTTGCAAGCAAATGTGTTTCACTGTTATCACAGCCCTACCTCCTACTACCACCCACCCGATGATGACCTAACATGCATCGTTGAACCCTTAACGCCTATGCTAGGAGGGCGGTGTAAGGTTTCTATTGTACGCTTGAAGGTTCCTTGCCAACCTCCTGACTGAACACCAAGCGCCTGCCGAACACCGACACCCAACGTGATAAGACATGCCCGGCCATCAACATCAATATACTATCCTTGAATCCGCCAAACCGTATGAATACTCCGACCTCAAAGCAAAACACAATACAAACCTTTAGAACTGAGGAATTTTTCCAGTTGCGCTCTGCGACACTTACGAGTCATTACCAAGGAGCCCGCCGTTCTGGGTTTCTTCGTTGCACCCAATGCACTACTGCAGGTGCTGAGAGACAGAAAAAAAAAAAGAAAAAAAAACGAAAATCACCCGTCCTTCATCCTCTTCGCAGGCCTGCCAACCAACGAATCATCCCCCAGCCCGCTGCGCTTCGTCCCCGGCAACGACCCCGTGCGGATGTCGTTGTCGTCCTGGCTGACCCTGCGGTGCGGATACTCGGCCCGGAGGCCCTCGAAGCAGTTGGTGCTGACGGCATCGCCCGTGCTGAAGAACGGGTGGTGCAGCGCCTGCGCGGCCGTGAGCCGCTTCTCCGGGTCGTACTCCAACAGTCCCGAGAGGAGTTTGTAGCCTTCTTGTCCGAGGCTGGAGAGCGGGGAAGAGGAAGAAGTTGTTGTTGCTGTTGTTGTGGTTGTGCCGCCGGTGGATGATGGGGTGGCAGGTCCTGAGGCGCTGCCCGTGCCGATGGTGCTGTAGTACCATTTCTCCAGGTGGCTTACCCCGGCCGCGGAGGCGGGCTGCCGCTGCTGGGTCTGGTAGTGGTGGCCGTGGTGATGATGGTGGTGGTGGTGATGGCCGCCGTGGCCGTGGCTGATGGGCGGCTGCAGCGTGGCGAGCTGGCTGTACTCGGGCGTGCTGGTTAGCAGCGGCCAGCGCTCCTTGGTCGGCAGGCCCATGATGTCGACGATCTTCTGCATCTGGTTGCGCTGGAACGGGACCGTCTTCTTGCTGTCCATCTTGGCCTCCTCGCCCTTGAATATGGGCCTCAGTGAGAGCAGCTCGGCAAAGATGCACCCGACGGCCCACATGTCGATGGCGGGCGTGTAGTGGCGGCTGCCGAGGAGCAGCTCGGGCGCGCGGTACCAGATGGTCACGACGACCTTGTCACCGCTGTAGAGGCTGTGGAGCGGTTTGTACGACAGACGGGCGAGGCCGAGATCACCGATCTTGACTTCTCCGCTCGAAGTCACCATGATGTTCGCAGGCTTGAGATCGCGGTGCAGCACCCAGTTGGTGTGTAGGTACTGGCATCCGTTGAGCAGCTGGAACATGATGCTCTTGATGGTGGCGGGCGGGATGGGATGTCGCGGCTGCTGCGTGTGGTGATGGATGATCTGCAGCAGGTCGTGCTCGGCATACTCGAACACCATGAAGATGCACTTGTCTTCCAGGATGATCTCGATCAGCCTGATGACGTTCTGATGGTTGAGCTCGGAGCACAGAGCCATCTCCCGCACCGCCGACTGCGAGATGCCCGTGTACGACGTCTGCTCGCCCTCCTTGTCGGGCTTGAACTTCTTGATGGCGAACTCGCCCGGCTGGCCGTGGCGGCCCAGCGCCTTGTACACCCGGCCATAGGTGCCGCTGCTGATGAACCCCACAACCTTGTATTTGTCTGTCACCCGGACCTTGCTCTGGTAGCCCATGCCTCTGGTGCCGCGGTTTGTAGGGTCTGCGGGAATGAGTTAGCTCTCATGGATGGTCCATATCTTCATGTAACAGGAATCCAGAAATGAGTAATGACTGACGAGGCCTCGGCTGGAAGCTGGCTTCAGCCCTCAGACGTCTGGCCTGGTTCATGGGGCGAAGTGAAGTCCGTTCAACCCCGCCGAGCGAAGGGAAGGCGGGAAATGGAGGGGCAACAGAAGTGTGTTGATACATCAGGGCCGGCGAGTTGAATGCCAGGCCTGCTGGCCCGGAGACGGTCACGCCGTATGGCCTGATGCCGTGCTGTCCAGCAATGTGTTCGGGCTCCATGATAATATCCCCCGGAAGCTATCAGGAGCACCACATGCCGGCGTGCTGCAGTGATGCCCAAGTACCGGCGAAAGAGGGCGACCGTCTGAGGAGAAAGGTGGCAACGCTCGGACTCCTCGGATAGCCACAGGGTTCCCGGCTCGATGCGAAGGTCCACGGAGTATGCGATCGGGGAAAATGGAAGTGAGACAGGACAGAACAGGGCTCGAAGCCATACCTGTACACTTAAACAAAGCCTGCACGTTCCTCTTCAATGTCTGACTCCTGCCTAGCGACAGCGGATACCGACCAAGCCTGGTAAGCGGTGGATGGCGGGTTTGTGAGGTTCATTTGCTGAGCTCCAGGGACCAGCCCGGGCGCTCCGAAAGACGGGACCAATGATGGCCGGCTTCAGTGTTACTAACAGTCCCCCCAGAGGCGGGTGACCGAGGGATTTGCTGGGAGATTCGAAGGCAATTCGAAGTGCGGAACTCGGTCCTCAGATCAGATCACGTAGCGAGATTGCCAGCGCGGCATGTTTGCCTAAGAGGAGCTAAGATGCAAGCAAACAAACTACAGGTATTGTATTGAATGGGAATGGTGTTGAGAATCGAAAGCGAAACGGGAAATTCGAGGTGGGGCTCCCGTCCGTTGGGCGGCAGCCTTCGGAGTTCTTGGCAGCTCGGAGGCGACAAACAATTTTACCTTGTCCCGGCTATCCATGATCTGGCACCCGACACACACAGCTAAGGCTTACTGTGCCCAGGTGCCAATATCTAGGTAATCCGGTCACGTTCTGACCAGAGGCTGTGTACGGTACTGAAGTGCGTCGCCTGCTGCACATGTGGATCTTTCCTCAGCACATCGGGAAAGTGTCCAGCGGCGGAACAGGAAAGGCGATGTACGACTCTTCGATGTCCAGTACCGTCGGCATCGCGAAATCACGGGATGAAGCCGTAGTAGTCTTTTCATCATCTAAAAAGTGCAGCGCTTGCTCTACCGAACCAACCTATCTCGGCCCCAGCTTCTCCAAGACTCTGGGTCCCTGCTCCTCCCACTCCTGCTTCGAGATCCACATGTTCTCGTTGTCCGCCATGATGTTGGCCAGCACCGCGCCGCCCAGGAAGACCATGTGCCTTCTCCGCGGCGGGTCTTCTATCCTGACCTTGAACTTGCTCAGCCGCTCTGGGTTCCCTCCTAGCACCCTCGTGAGCCATAGCTGCTTCAACTCCTTCTCGAGACGTGACGGTAGACCCGGATACATGCTGCTGCCGCCTGACAGGACAATGGCCTTGAAAAGAGACGAGCGGACGTCAACATCCGCAGCCTGGATGGTGTTGAAGAGGAACTCGGCAATGCCCGGCTGGTCGCAGTCGACGAGGTGGGGCTGGAACAGGCACTCAGGTGCTTCGAACCGTTCTGATCCCACGCGGATGACACGCCCGTCCGGCAGTGTGTAGCTCTCTACCAGCACCGTCGTGTCCTCGCTTAACCGCTTGTCCAGCTCCAAGTCGTAGGAGACATAGCAGAGCTTCTCCTTGATCTGGCGCACTGTCTCGAAGTCGGCGGTTCGGTTGAGCGCATAGCCCCTGCGGAGGAGCAGCGCAATAAGGTTGCGCGTGACATCACGCCCCGCCACGTCCAGGCGGCGAGTGAGGTGGTTGAGGACGACGGACTCATAGACAGGGACAATATGTGTCACACCGTCACCAGAGTCGACGACCACGCCCGAACTGAGACCTGTGCAACCACAACACTGTCAGCGGACCTAGCTTGATCTATGGTAATCCAGGACGCCCATAGTCCGGGAGATCGCACCTTGGGCATACAGAGCCAGAACGGCCTGGATGGCGACATAAACACCCCCGAACCCGTACCGCTCAAACATGACCTCGCACATCTGCTCTCGGTTCTTTAGCGGGTTCAGGGGCGGCTCCGTCAGGAGGATCTTGCGGCCGCGCGGGTCGACCTTCATCTTCTCGAAAAAGGTGTAGTCCCACAGGTGCTGCATGTCATCCCATTTCTTGACGATGCCGTTCTCCATCGGGTAGCTGATCTGCAGCATGGTGCGCGCCGCGGCGGCCTCGTCACCGCACATGATGTCCTTGATCACCATGTCGCTGCCGCCCTTCTCCTCGGTACGGAGGATCGGTCGGCCAACGATGGACGGGTACTGAAACTCGGGGAAGTTTTGCGCCGCATAGCCGACCTTGAGGAAGCCGGTGCCTCCATCGAGGACTGTGCGGGTTCGAGAGGCGGAGGTCAGCACTCGTCCAAGCCGAGCAGCCCCTGATGAGCGTCGCTGCAGGGTATGGGAATTGGCATTTCGCTTTACCTATGGGAGGCTGAGACATCTTTGAGTCCCGCGCAGCTTCCGAATACGAATCGACGATTAGGGAAGTTGGGTGTAGCGAACGAGACCTCCTGGAATGCTGTCGATACCTAGCTGCGGGTGATGATGGCTTGGGGAGATGTTCATGGTGGGGTTCCTAACGTTGCGCAGCCTGGCAGCTGCCAGACCGTAACAGGGGTACTGTGTGGCTGGCCGCAGACATGGGGGTGCGTGGGCCCACGTGATGCCCCGCATCACCACCTCCATTCCCATCACGGTGGGGCTCAATGATTATGAGACAAACTGCTCGATGACAAGATCGAAGCAGTTGAAGCATAAGTCACCAAGAATCGAAGAATTGGTGAAAACCTGACAGAGTTGCATACACCTTCCACTTCCCCTTCACTCCCATTCATTCAATCGACAACATGTCCACCGATTTCGTCAAAGGGTGCACAAGAATCCTGGTTCTCAATCCAAACTCGTCCTACCAGATGACAATGGGACTGGCGCGGGCTATCAAGGACATGGAGCTATCCCAAGTTTGTGTCTCCCAGAAGCGGCAAGCTGAGAGGGAATCAAGGCAACTGACGCAAAGAAATGGCCTTAGTCCGTCGCAATTCATACATACACCGCTCCTAGTGAAAGCCCACTGAGCATCAACGACAGTGCCGACCTCGAGAAAAGTACCGATGTGGTCCTTCATGACTTGAGAACTACGTCATTGCTTGGGGGGTTCGACGCAGTGTTGGTAGCTTGCTTCAGCGTCCATCCATTAGTCTCGGTGCTACAGATGAACTATCGGTTTCCCGCGGACATCAGCGTGACAGGCATATTCGAGGCCAGCATCTTGACGTGCCTTTCGCTGCTGCAGCCGGGGGAGCAGTGGGGAATTGTGACGACGGGGAAATTCTGGGAAGAGCATCTGACACGGGGCGTAAACACCTTTTTGGGCGTACAACCTGGGTCAGCCAATGCCAAGTTTGCCGGAGTCGAATCAACCGGTCTGAACGCTAGCGACTTCCACGGCGGCGTCGAGCCCGACATTATTCGTGAGAAAATGGGGCAGGCCACTAGGAGGCTTCTGAGAAAAGGGAACATAAGTTGTGTCGTGATGGGCTGCGCGGGTATGGCCGGATTGGAGGATATCATCCGTTCGGCGGCATCTGAGGAGTATGATGTACCACGAGCCTGCGAGCTCCGCATCGTTGACGGAGTAAGGGCTGGGATCGGCTTGTTAGAGCAAATGACCCGCAACAAGCGAGCTTTCAAACAAAAGAATGATTAAGGGAAGAATCGCTCATGGAATTTAGCATAGCACCTGCTTAAGAGACTCCGCGCTTAATCATCCAGTCAGTCGACGCGTCTCGTCCGACCCCATACCTCGTCAACATCCTTCTTTCCCCTCGTCTCCGGCACATTCCGCGCGACAAAGGCAGCAAACAGCAGAGCGAAGCCGGCGAAGATAAAGTACACCCAACCGGCACCACCCAAGGCGCTGTTCAGCGCCTCGTTGACTATGGGGAACAGGTATGCAACAAGGAAGGTCGCAATGTAGTTCGCCGCCAGGGCCCACGATTGCGTCGCGCCAACAGCCTCCGGGCCGACCAGCTCTGAGGCCAGGATGAACGGCACAGGGCCGAGCCCGAGAGCGAAAGACGCCACGAAGAGGAGAACTGCGATTGCCGACACAATCTTCCAGCCAAACTGGATAGACAGGGCGAGTACGAGTGAACTGGTGCCTTGGCCGACGATGGAAGCAAGCAGACATGTCTTGCGACCAAGGCGGTCCGGAAGGGGCGAAGATGCGATTGTCGTGCCGAGGTTGATAATGGAGATGATGATCGTCAGCAATGCCGAGCTGGTGGGAAGAAGGTCTCTGAGCAGCGATACCGAGTACATGATGATAGAGTTGATGCCGCAAAGCTGTTGCGCGAACATGATGCCCACCACGGCAAGGATTGCCGGCCTGTACAGCGGGTCACAGACAAGCTGCACGAAGCCCAGATGTGCCTGTTGAGATCGCGAAGCGGTGAGTGATGGGTTGAGCAAGCCGCCGCCAGCCTCCGACTCGCTGTCGTGGCCAGCGAGCAACCTATCTCGCTCACCAGGTGGCTTCCCGTTGCCGGCTCCCCAGGCCTCGACTTCCTCATCAACATTGCTTTGCTTACCCCGGATCCGCTGCAGAGCGCCACGAGCATCAGCAACGTCCCCTTTCACGTTGGCAGTCCATGACGGGCTCTCCGGGACAATTAACAAGCCGAGACCTTGCGCCAGAGCAACAATCACAGCGGTGCCGAAGATCCACCTCCAGGCACTATCGTGGCTCATGAAATAGCCCAGAGTCTGGGTGAAGAGGATCCCAACGTTGATGCTGATCTGGGTGAAGGCGCCGAAGAAGCCGCGCTTCGCTGGGGGGGCCACCTCACTGATGTACAGCGGAACAATCACCGTGCTTGCGCCGGCACCAATGCCGGTCAGGAAACGAGCGACGATCATGACAGGCACGGACGACGCAAATGTCTCGATGGCAGATCCCGCGAAGAAGAAGACGGATGTCATCTGCATTGAGAGCCGTCGTCCGCGGCGCGACGTGAAGGGCCCGGCAGCCAAAGCACCGATGAGCCCGCCCACGGTGAAGATGGCCGAAATGGCAGCAAACGAGGCCCGGCTCATGGGTATGCAGTCGGCAGCGCTGGTCTTGCTCCCGAGTGACCAGATCTTATCTAGTGCGGGAACCGACCTCTTCTGGCACGTAATGACATCCTCGGGCGCGTTCAGTTCGGCCTTGGGACAAAGTATCATGTTAGGTCAACCGCCCTAAGCGAACTATCAGGGAATGGCGGCAATCCGTCTCACCAAGTGGTAGCCAAACTGTAGCGGGCCGAGTGTGGCTACCGCCACGATCACCACCAGGTATGGCGTGACGTCGCTCAGAGTCGGTGCCATTGCGGACACTGATTCAACGGGTCTAGAACAAAATTTACTCAATAAACATATCGCATGCGTATCATTCAAGAGAAAGTATGGATGGTGAGCGACGAATTCAATGAAGCTGAAGTAGTATGGCTGAGGGGAAGGAACGGGCTAGGTACCTTATCCATGCCACGCAAGAGCGGCCCGATTAGCGCATATTTATTTAGCTAACAGGTAGACCCATGACCTGGTTGCACGTCGCTCTATTCAGCTAGAAAGTGTCCTTCTTGTAGCCCCCTGCAAGCGCCTTCTTGACCGCTACCTCGAGCGAGTCGAGGTTCTCTGGTTGCATCCCAACCAAACCGTTATCATTCTGAGCGTACAGCGTTCCTCCTTCCGCCCAGATCCTTCTCAGTGTGACAAGAGTCGCTCGGGGATTTCCCTCCTCCCACTTCTTCGCTTCGAACGCCCGGATCTCGTCAAGCGGGGTCTTCGTAACCTCCCACTTGGAGCCCGTCTGCCGCTCGTACTCGGCCAGCACCTCGTTTGGCGTGACCACGAAGCTCTGCACTTTGAGCGCCTTTCCAAACGATGCCTCTGGCGCCTTCACCGTGGCGACGACGAATTTGCCCACACTACCGTCCCGATCAGTTGTTTGTTCTTGGACTGACATCTCGGAGGTGAGTCAACTTACTCTGGCATCGTGCAAAACCCGACCTTGCCGCTGCCATCCCCAATCACGTACGCGTGCTTCTTCTCGGGGATAAATCCGCCAGCCACCTCGAAACCGGGGGCGGCGTCCACCCACATATCGAAGTACGGCCCTGTCACAACATACGTAACCTTGACCCGCTTCAGGTTCTCGCGGATGTACTTCCGCACCTGCAGCTTGAGCTGATGCGGCTTCTCATTCGGGCTCTTGTCGTTGTGCTCGATATCGGTGCCAAACTCGGACGGGAGGAACCACTTGACGCTTTCCGACTCCTCGGCCAGGCGCAGCAGGTTGATCTGGTGCTGGAGCCCGCCCCTGCCCACCGCCGAGATGACCGTGTCGACGCCGGTGTAGGCGGCCTTGACATCGGCTTCGGACGTCAGGTCACCAACAATCACGGAGAGGCCCTCGGACTTCCACTTGTCCAGCTGCTGAGCCTTCTCCTTGGCGCTGTTGGGCGAGGTGAAGAGGATAAGCTGCTGGGAGGAGGGCTTGGCACGGAGCAGCGCGGCCGTGATGTACCGCCCGATCGTGCCCGTGCCCCCGAAGATCAGGATCTTGGATGCTGTGAACGACGACATCATTCCCCGCGGAATCACACTGCCGCAGATGAGATGCTATAGGATTGGCCGGTACTGGAGCCGGCAAATGCTCGATTTGACGAGGTGATGTTGCTTGTCGGAGGTGGTTTTCGACGTTGTTTGAGATGCCGGATATGGAAGATGCGACGTTCGAGCGCTCTTGCCCGAAGTTGGCCTCGGAGAACTTCTACTGGAAACAAGACGGTAAAAACGTCGCACATTTATCACTAATCACCTCACGGCAGTCACGACAGAATAAGCTGTAAAGGGGTCATTTCCGAAGGGCGCACTGCATGTCCAACCCGCCCCTCAGTTTGACCCCGCCTTATCCAAGGTTCAAGTGATGGGTATCGCCGGCTCTCCGTCGAAAGGTGGGAAGCGCAGGAGACTCCATGGAATTCATTAACGCTGCATGGGCCCTCCAAGCCTCTCGGTTCACCTAAACTTCAAGATGTTTAGCCGCCATATGGTGATCTGCTACATTAGGAACTACGTACGGAGTACTCGCTATGGTTTGGATAAGGTACTGAAGCTCCTGGGGTATTGAGAAGACGTAGCATGGGACGACATCTCCAATCTTCATTCCCCACCCGTAACCGGAGCCCCACCTTTACATCTTATCGGAGCTGCGCATCTGATTTGTCAATCAAGCTCACCGCGGCAGGCACCGCCAGGAATTTTTTCGCGCCCAACACCGGAAAATCAGAAGGTCGAACCAGACCTGGGTTGAACCCGCGGACGGATTCAACCCGATTCTCACCCGATAAACTTCCCACCAATATGTCCGCTCCTGCTGGTGGAAGCTCGCAGGATGCGGTAGTTCCCAGCAGCCAGAGGTCTGAGAAAAAGCACAAACGAACAAAATCAGAGCACAAGAAGAAGCGAGCGCGGGAAGAAGACGAGGCGGCCGTTGTACAGGAGACCCCTAGGAAATCGAAGAAGATGAAGAGCGAGAATGCCGGCGATGATGATCACGTTGCTCCCTCCCAGCAGTCTCTTACTGCACCCGACAAACCAGCGAAGAAGAAGAAGCACAGAAAGCATGAGGAGACCGAGGATGCACAAAATGGGATAGACACAGCCGCGGCCACGGGGGATTCCAGGAAGAAGCGCAAGAAAAAGAGCAAGCACGCACAAGAGGTCGAGCAATATGTGGCGGAAGCCATGGAAGTCGATCCCCCGGAAGCGACACCGACAGAAGAGCACCACAAGTCAGAGAAGAAGCGCAAGGAAAAAAAGTCAAAGAAAGGCAAGGTGGACGGAGATGGGCACATGAATGAAGAGCCTCGGGAGCCAGATACGGGTGTGCATGAGAAAAAGAAGCGGAAGAGCAAAGAGAAGATCAAGGAGGTCTCAAGCGCAGGTATAGCAACCGAGTCCCAAGAGAGCCAAGCAACGGATGCATTATTCGCTGAGCCTTTGAGCGCCGAGTTTCCATTCTTCACTCAGACCATCTCTCTCTACGTTCCGTTCTTCCCGGTCGGTTTCGACAAACCTCTCACCAACGTCGCTGCCCAACACCTGGATCCCTTGTTAAACCACTATTCACCCACGCTACGCGGCGTCCTCCTCAGCTATTCCAACCTCAACCTTTCAGACCGACCTGCCAAGGCCAGCATCACACATCCCCCAACAGACCAGACGCCGGCATTAATGCACTCGGTGGGCGAATATGCGGTGGGATTCGGTTGGCTCACATTCGACGCCCAACTCTTCGTCCCAGCTCGGGGGAAGTGGATGGAGGGCGTGGTGCAGCTCCAGAACGAAGGTCACATTGGTGTGGTGTGTTGGAACAAGTTCAATGCCAGCATCGAGGCAAAACGTTTGCCGGAGGGATGGAAGTGGGTGGACTTGACCAAGAGCGGGACGAAGCCAGACGCCTCCCCAGCCTCTGACGAGGACGGGCCAGATAAGCAGGACCAGGAATCGGACATGCTGGACGGGGAGGAGCTCCAGGTCGTAGAACAGATTCACACAACAGGCTACTGGGTCAACGAGCGCGGGCGAAAGGTGAGCGGCAAGCTGCGGTTCCGCATAAAGAACTTCGACGTCGGCCTGGCCGGCGACTACGGCTACCTCAGTATCGAGGGAACCTGCCTCGACGACGAGGCGGAGCGGGCCTTGGCGGCTCGAGAACGCGAAGCGGAGCGGGCGCGGCGTGCGAAGCAGAACCCCGCCGGCCTCCTCCGGCCGTTGTCGAGACGCGTGCCGGAGTTCAGCATGACACGGTTCGGGAAGGAGGACGAGGAAGAGGATGGCGGGCAACGAACGGTCCTGTACAAGGGCAGTCGCCCTGGCACGCCCGACGATTAGGTGTGGTCTGGCCTGACACGCCAATTCTCCTCGCCGCCTTCTTCCACTCGGAGCGCGGCACGGAGTCCCGGGTTTTGTTGAGTTGCGTTGTGTGGTCTGGACTTTTTTGGGGTCGGAGTCGGGAAATTCGCTGTATTGCCGGTGCAGAAGGCGCATGGTTGTAACCAGTTGTTGTGTATAGATGACTGCTGTTGTGTTATTCAGCGGTTAGAGGGTTGTGGTCATACCGATCGTGCGCGGACTGGGCAGCAAACTGCTCGGGTTGACAATCTACTGTGGTCACGTCTACTGCGATCCCCGTATGGCTCATTCCTGTCGCGATCTACGATGCCTCGGGCAGCCGTATTATTCTGCCTCGCCCATAGAGGAGCAGGTGGTGCGGATTCTGAGCCGGCTTCGCCCTCCAGACCACACCGTTTGTACAACGCTCGGTGCATTGCTGGCCCCCCAGAAATCGCACTTGGAGTACGCATTCAAAGCCAGCAAATTCACGGAACCACGACCACGCCCGACCCCAACCCCTCCCAGCTGAGCATCAGGCATGCTGTGCAAAGTATCTGGTGGCCAAACATCCACGGCGTGTGTAGATATGACTAAACATGGCCTGACTTACCTAGTTCATCAATCCTCGAGCGGCTTTCCGCGGTCGAGCGTGGGATGCTCGTTCCTAAGGTCCAGCATTCCTCCGGCAATCATTCCTCGCCAGCATGAGCAGCCAGGCCTTGAGAAGGCGGCCATGTGGTCAACAGGGGGCTTCTTAGAGCGCAAGTCGCTTGCCGGGTCATATGAGCCATCTCAACACGAAGATCGACGATGGAAGCATCATGCAAGTACCCGTACGATATGCAAACAAGCCGCTGCCTGTAATATGAGTGACAATTTTGTCGTTCGGGCATGACATTGATGTCTTCTCCGCCTTGGCCGGCCTGGCCGTGGACAGGGCCGGAGTCCGGGGCGCCGGCCGTGCCGCATGAACGCCCCCGGGTCTGCCGCCACCGGCCGGCCGCTTAAGCCGGGCCACAGAACCTCTCCTATGTTTGACGTCGGTCCACCTCAAGGTGTGGATGGTAAAATGGTAAACAGATATAAGAGGCCGCAATCCTTGGAGGTCCTGACTTCTCTCTCTTTCTCTCTCTCCAGCCTACAGCAGCAGCCTGCAACTCGGCTTTGCTAGACAATACACAACAAAGCAACCTGCTCTGTTCTCCCCGCTTACACCAGCATTACTCCTTCCACAACTTCTGCCCGGCTCTACAGACGTCTTTACCAAACCTTACACGTCCCGAGCAAAGCAAATGGAAACATTCCGCACAATGCTGGCGTGCATCCTCAGACAGCGGAGGAGACACGATGGGTACACGGAGCTCATCTACGACGACGACAAGATGGCGGGAGTGTACTCTGACTACGACAACGAAGGGTACAGCACACAGCACGAAGTCATGAGCTACTACTACGACGCTGACGCCCGCCCCATCAGCGACGGCGACGACAACTACGACGGCGCCACTGCCTTCAACGAGAAAGCCGGCTTCGACACCGGCGACACGGACGCCCGCAGCGTGGAGGAGGTCGCGCGCGACGTGGCGCGCCTGCTGTGGCGCGCCGAGTGGAACGACGACGCGCTGCAGGGCGCCATCTCGGACTGCGTGGGCGAGCAGCGGGCGTGGAACCGCAAGATGGTGGAGGCGTGCCTGGACGGCGTGATCGACTACGTCGAGCAAGGGCGGCGGCTGATGGGCGACGCCATGTGCGCGGCGCTGGACACGGCGACCGACGTCGCGGACGAGGCGTTTGCGTTCCCGCGCCGGCACCCGCCGAGCCTGGACGGCTTCATCGCCATTGTGTCGGTCGGCGTGTTGGCGCAGCTGCAGGGCGCCTGGGTGCTGGAGCTGCTTGGCTTCGGCGAGGTGCGCGGCAAGGAGGGGATGATGAATGGCGATAGGGAGGTGGCCATGTTGACGTCGGACAAGATTGTCTTCTGGGAGGAGCCCAAGCCCGGTTCGTTCGCCGCTTGGTGGGCGAGGGAGTACGCCGACTACATCCCCGGAGGCTCCGTCTACTCGTACCTGCGCCAGCTGGGTATGATTGAGATCGAGGACTGATGAGAACAGCACAGCTCTGGACTCGCAAAGGTTGGATTCTTGCGGGATGCTGTTCTGTTCTGTTCTTTCGAAGTCAAGGTCTCAGGTATGTGCAGCTCGAGGTTACGGGTAAAGGTGGCTCAGGAGCACAGCAGTGCGCGAAACCGTCAATCACTTACAAATCAGGCTTGGGTTGAATGAAGGATTTCGGGACTATGGCGTCAGGTTGGCACAGTGCTTGTATGATAAGCAGATCTTTAGTGAGGATGACGACTTCTGAGACGTCTTTGTTGCCATTTGATCATTCTGACTTGCGCGTTCAATTGGCTCGAACGTGGCCATCCTAAGAAACGTCACCTCGAAAACAATTGACACTGCGCTTTGTGGGCTGCCTACTGACTCGGTAACTTGACCAATCCCTCACCAGCGCTTGTCACGTATCCGGTAGTCGCTGTTCACCGTTCAACAACCCCACAGATATCACATCCGTCATGAATCGTGTTCTCAGTTGGGGTCGGGCACCAGGAAGATGCTGACTCGGGTGTTACGAATCTATCCCTGTCGCCATTCAGGCCAAGGCTTGATGTGAAGTTGAAACATGCGCATTCGCTCAAACCTCCGAGCTTCAAGCAGCGATTCCGATGCGCCACCACACCAAAGATAAGGCATTTCAGCGAGAATCTCGCGGCTGCAGTTGGAATTGGCAACGAGAGGTCACTAGGCTCGTCGACTGGCGACCATTTCAGCCAGGAGTGACACACAAGATTGTACGTGTCAGAACGGAATTGCTCGGCTCCATCGTCTCGGTCTGGCCCCCTGATGGTGATGTCTCCAATTTGGTCAATACCGTTGTATCCAGCGCCCTTGTGCATCTTGGCCCGCTGTCTATTGGCGATGGAGCCGATAAAATATGCGAAAATATGCAGGAATACGCACTAAATAATAATAAGTCGCGCGGTGTGGTAGCAAGGAAGCCTGTCATGAGATTTCCGGGAACAATCTCCCCCTCATTATGGAAGGGTCTGGCCCCTGCCGCGAATTACCGGCGTGCACATTGGCAAGAAGTGGCAGCTCGCAATCGCCCAAAAGGCTGCGCCGCCTATCAGCTCCTTTCTAGCTGAAATGACGATACCCGACACAATCATAAGCTACTGTAGGTTGCATGATATGGACTCGAGCACCCAACTCTTAACTGTTTTTCCTCTCCGAGAAGACGTAGCCTCCCAATGTCTATCAGTCTCTCATCGCCCGTGCCGTGATCCCTCTAACAGCGGGCCGGACTCAGTTCCCGGTTACCGTCTCCACTATCGCCGACTGTACCGCCCAAGTAGCGGGCCCGACGGAGCTTGGGTGACGACAACGTGACGATCCAAGCGGGAAGTTTTTGGGGCAATTGGCCAACAAAGAAGCCGCAAGACCAGCGATCGAAGAACCAGCCTCAAATCGGAAACACGCTGCTCCACTGTTATTCGATTCAGTTCTCCCATATATCTTAATCCTCCGACCAGAGCAGTGTTCTTTGATACGGAAGCAAACGCCCACTGCACCAACTAAGAAACACCACGGCTTCCCACCAACTCGAACTTCGGTTTATCATACAATAAGCAAGCAGCCGTCCGAGTCCCGACAGTCGCAGCACCTCGTTTGACGTTCCCCGTTTGCAACCCGCAAGGCCATCACCACCATCCCAACCCTAGCCTTCCAATGCTTCGATTGTCATCCTCCTCCCCTGCGAAACAGCAAAAGATTGGCAGCCTCTACCACCAAGGCTTTCGCCCAGGAACCTGAATTGCTCGACAAACAAAATGACCAAATCAATCCTGACAGACGCTCTCCCCGAGCCGCCTACCTCGTCCGTCCGGCCGTACCCCACGCACTGCCAGGACCTCGCGCTGCAGAAGTACCTGCTCCTCCATGAGCAGCACGAGTCCCTGCGGCAACACCTCGACGAGCTGCGCCCGCCGCGCCACCAGAGCCTCACAAACTCCCTCTACACTCCCGTGTCCCCCAACCCGCCGCCCACACGCCGCATGTCCCTGTCGCCCATGACCGATCACACGTCGCCGTCGTCGTCACGACACACCGGCATCTCGCCGTCTTCGCTGAGAACCCCCAGGAGAAGCATTAGCCCCCCTTCCTCCGCGGTAGCAGCCGCTGTTGTAAGGGGAAACCACCACCACCACCACCACCAATACGACGAGGAGGCAGCGTGGCGGATGGCCGAGGTCGCGGTCGAGGAGGCCAAGCTGTGCGACGTCAACGAGGGCATGAAGCGCGCGCTGACCGAGCTGCTCAATTGCGAGACGGTGCGCGGCGATCCGGCCTTCCGCATGTGGGTCCAGTGCCGGCTGCTGGACACGGAGCGGGAGCTGAGGAGTGGGCGGAGGAGGCGGAGCGCCCCTGGTGCTTGAGTGCAAAAAACTACATCTACGGAGTACACTACGAGAATCCGCTAATAAGTCGGATTCCGTCTTCGGTTTTTTTTTTTCTGGGGGAAATGGCCTGGAATGGGCTCTGCTTTGCCCGCATTGCCGAATTTACGTTTTGTCTCTGTTTCATCTGGGGGATATCATCTCTTAGGAAGCTTGTAGTCAAACGTTCGAAAACCTTACGGATTTGGTTGGAGTTTATGGGGTGGCTATCGCAAGGTATTGCGACGGGTGCTTGGTTGAGCCCTGAAAAAGGGGCTGGGATTGGAAAACGCACCCATCTGGTACGGATCATCTGTCTGATCTGGCAACTATCATTAGCGGGAATATCAGCGAAAAGTTATGGTCGATCACAAGGTCGATACTGAGTAATCATTGTTCAATCTCGTTGTTTAATGTGATGTGAAGACGCGAGTCGAGACGTCGATGTCTGCGGAGCTCTCACTTGTGACAACCCTAACCCTGCATTGCCGAGTTCCAACTTCCGGCAGGCAGTTGCCCAAACTTTGGTTTCCGACTCCATTGGTGTTGATCTGACGTCGCTGTTCGCGTCACGCCAACTCCCAAAGCAGCATGACCGTGAAGCTTTTGCGGCACCATCTCAGCCTCAACAGCAATATCATGCGACCTAGCTTCAGATCTGAGAATTTATAATGTCCGTCCTTCTCGAGACCAGTGCGGGCGACATCGTGATCGACCTACTGGTCGATTACGTGCCCAAGATGTGCGAAAAGTAAGTGAGGTCACGATTTGCCCCAGCAGCGCGCTCCGTCCAGTAATGCTTATCCCGGGCACATTCAGCTTCCTAAAGCTTTGCAAGGCCAAATACTACAACTTCTCGCCAATTCATTCCGTCCAGAAGTCATTTTCCTTTCAGACCGGCGATCCTCTAGGGCCCATGTCCCCCGAGTCCGATGGCGGCACCTCCATCTGGGGCCTTCTCTCGAGCAACCCAGCCGACAAGACATTTACAGCACTCTTCCACCCAAAGCTAAAACATCTCGAGCGTGGCACCGTCAGCATGGCGACAGCTTCGCACCCATCCGACCCAGACCAGCGCGTGGCGGGTTCGCAGTTCATTGTGACACTGGGAGATAACCTAGACTACCTGGACGGCAAGGCGGCCATATTTGGAAAGGTAGTGGAGGGCTTTGACGTGCTTGAAAAGATAAATGATGCCATCGTCGACGACCGCGGGCATCCCCTTGTCGACATACGCATCAAACACACCATCGTACTCGACGATCCGTACCCCGACCCCGCCGGCCTGCACGAACCCAGCAGCTCCCCGCCTCCGACCAAAGCGCAGCTCGCTACGGTGCGCATTGCCGAGGATGAGGAGCTGTTAGACGAGGAAGCCAATGAAGAGGCGGCCGCCGAAGCGGAGCGGAGGAGGCAGGAGCGGGAAGCCGCAGCCCGGGCTCTGACGCTCGAGATGATGGGCGACCTGCCCTTCGCCGAGGTCAAACCGCCGGAGAATGTGCTCTTCGTCTGCAAGCTAAACCCGGTCACGACGGACGAGGATTTAGAGCTCATCTTCAGCCGCTTTGGCAAGATACTGAGCTGCGAGGTGATACGGGATCGCAAGACGGGAGACAGCCTGCAGTACGCGTTCATCGAGTTTGAAGACCAGAAGAGCTGCGAGGAGGCCTACCAGAAGATGGACGGGGTCCTGATCGATGACCGCCGAATCCACGTCGACTTCAGCCAGAGCGTGAGCAAGCTGAGCGAAGTCTGGCGCAGCGAAACCAACACGAAACGGAAGAAGGCTGCCGCCCGGAGAGGCGGCGGCGGCTGGGGTGGCGTCAAGGAGCTCGAAAAGCGACGGCAATACCGCAACGAGGATGTCGAGTCTTCTGACGAGGAGAGGGGTTACAAGATGGTCCACGGGATGGAGGACCTACGTGGCCGTCATGGCGACGACCGTGACAGAGGTGCCGGACGAGGCGGGCCGAGCAACCGGGCGTCCGGTACATATGACGGGGGCCGTCGGCGCGAAGACCGCTCCCCAGAGCGACACGGGGTCAGGTACAGGTCGGGACACGATGACACGAAGCGTGGCACGGAACGGCGCAGCCGAAGCCCAAGGCGGGAACGCCATGGAGGGCATCGCTACGGAAGGCCGGACGACGATAGGGAATGGTCTCGCAGAGATCGACGAGATGACGACCGTGATCGAAGACGAGGGGAGAAGGATAGGGACAGATACCGTGGACGTGACGAGTACAGGAGCAGGTGAGCCCGTGGCTGCCGGGCTCCTGCGAGTACTTCCTGCATCATGCAATGGAACATAGTACCTTGGCAACACGGCCCAAGTCACACAACAGACACCCCCCCTTGTCCCTTAGGTATGACATTGGCACGACCACATGCAAGTCTTCGGTTCGTTCTCCTCTCGTCATTCAATCTACCCTCTTATCTGACCCCACCGAGACGCCAATGCTTTCCTAGGCGACGTGCTCGTGACAGGAGCATGTTACTGAGAAGAGTTGAGCAACCGTTCTTTCGAGCGACGGCCAGGGAGGTCATGCCACTGTCGCCGTCTCCTAAACGTCGTGCCTTGTGTGGTACGGCTATACCCGGGAACAACAGGGGCCGACACCGGCAATCGATGCGTCCCAAATCCCGGCCAGCCTCTGGCTCGAAACCGACTACTGCAAGCAAGCTGCGGATGTTTTCGAGGTGCCTATACGCGCGACATATTCCGAAGCAGCTACGCCCGAATGCGAGTGGGCTTGCGACAAAGCCATTATTACGCTCGTTTCTCGCTGCTTCTTCTTTATACGAGCTCAATATCTACGTGGCCGGCTGAGAAGCTGTGTGGATGTGAGGGGAGCAGTTGGCCTTGTTTCACAGCTTAAGGCCATTGCCGTCGGACGACAGCACCTACCCCTTGCCCCTCCCCTCCCCTTCCCCCTGTTTCCCTCGTGCTGTGTTCCACAGAGACAAAGCGAGATTCCGACGCCGCCATTATTGCGTTACACATGCATGTCGGAGCGTGGGCGGTCTGTTTTAGTCGGACCTCCCGCAACATCGGCGGCTCATTATAGCTCTCAGCTTCGGCCCGCTTCTAGCTGTCCTCGTCGCTGTATGCTGAGAGCCAAGTATGTCATTTACGCGGTCGTTACTGGCCTGAGGCCACATGTTTACTATCTAGAACCTCTTGTGCATTTTTATGAATTGCCGTTGGCTGTATCGGTCAACATCTCTCTCCGTCTGGGACTTTGAAGCTTGCGAGTTTGCAAAAGCGGAGGATCTATCTAATCTCGATCCTCGGCTTCCTCGGTGCATGTTTCCTCCTCTCTTTAGCGTCCGCTATTGGGGCGACGGGCTCCCTGGATGCTCTTGTTGGTTGGCCCTCCTATGCAATCCGCGCTACTGTGTAGGAGATGCGGCAACTGCAAGCTACGCAGTCTCCCACGGAGCAGATGGCCGGAGATTGCCTCGTGCCCCTGAGCACGACGTGGGAGTTAGTGCGGCAGTTTGATTGGCTTGAGACCAATCCCAGCCTCTTCTTTGGACCGTTGCAGAGACATTGAGTGTCCCGCGTCGGCATCGTGCAGCGCTTGTGGCAGGTGACCAGACTTGACAGCTCCGTCTTGCCCGTCAGTGCTGCGAGTACCCGACAGGAGAGCCAGGCCGCAATCCTCCGTCCCGCGTCTCTCAAGACGTCGTGTTACCCACACAATCCCCATCCGCAGCCTCCCAGAAGCCGTGGCTGGGCCGGCCCTTAAGCTTCCCCGTTCGCCTGCCATGTGCGCACCCTGTTCATCGACGGGGAGAAAGTGGTGCTGATCAGCCTGTCGGCTGGCTTAGCCCTCTGAGAGGGCCAATCCTGCCGAGCTGGAAGATTCCGTGATACAATTCGACTCCGGCAAGCCGCCACCTGCATGCCGAATCATGGCATGCGAAAAGATGCCGCGGGGCTGGGTCTGCCAGTCATCACCAGTCGTCGCCATCGATCGCTCAGGCAACTCCTGGCGTGTGGGTCAGTCGGTAGATCGATCTCAAACCATCGATCCTCTATTACGGGCGATACCCAGTTTCTCCTGACACGTGTGCCATCCCATCGGTGCTTCAGAGACCCATCTTGTCCAACCCTCGGCGTTTAGCTCTTCCCCTTTTCATCGGCACGGCTTCGACTGAGTCCCCCATAGGCCCGATGAAAGGCTACCTCTCCGTCGGCGAGGCCGTCTATGTAAGGCCGATCCGAAACCGGAACTATGGGAACACACACCCGGTGCGTTTGAGAGGGGGTGGCCTCGTGCTACGTAGGCGCAATTATCCTGAGGCGTCACTAAATGGAGACGGTGGTGACGAGAATCTTCTCACCTTTTCGTCGGACACGACCACGATGAGCCCGGCCCCGATCATCCATCATCCAATGGATGGTAAGGTGATTCAATGCAAGTTGAAATGCGTTCTGCAATACGGCGTTTACCGATGCAAGACATATGATGCTCCTCCGCTTTGGAACCTCCTATGGAGGAAAGGGCCGTTTGCAGCGAATCAATGAAGCCTCCTCTCCAGAGCTGTCAAATCGGATGGATGCCCTCTCACGGGGAAGCGGCGACGGGAGGATCTCATGTATCTGCTCACAATTGTTGATCAAATGTGATCCCCTGGACCCCTGGTACGGGATTACCGAGATCAGATCGCTCGGCTCTTCTTCAGGGAGACCAAGATCATAGAAGCTAGGCTGGATAACCCTGGCGCTGGGGGTGGCGGGAATCGTGCCGGTTCCTGTTATGTAGGTACCCACTGTGTACTGTAGTGTACAATACAAGCACATCCATGGATGAGGTACGGGTAACGTTACTCCGTATTGATCTTGCTTTTCAAACCGCGTACAATTTAGGTACCTACCCTTGCACGCGTACAAGTACCTGGTAGTTATCCAGCCCACAGCAAGTGCTGGCTGAATCTCGGGCTTTCTATTCGCTCGGCCCTGCATTCTCTCGCCTTCTGTGCGATGGATTCCCCTATGGTCGGAGACAAGTGGCGTTTGCAGCAAAGTCTGCCAGCCCGAGGCTCAAAAAACACGAGTGGCGTCGGCGCCATCTGCATCATTCAGCCTTGATCAACAAGGGTGGGTTTGTTGCAGGCTTGATTACCTCATGCAGATGATACGGGAATTCAGCAGATGACTCGATCAAGGTTTTTTTTTCTCTTATCTTTCAGGGTGAAGTGAGAGTGCCTTGTCCTGAGCATCCGTCCAATGATGCACCACAGTAAGGTATACCATATTGATTGACTTCAGGGGATGCTTCATTATATCAGTAGCAGTCGGACATCCCATCCAGACGCGTCATGATATCTAGTAGTAGTATTTGACTGGTATCCGTACAGCAGAAAACAGTATCCTGCAGGTTGAAACGGCATTCTAACGATCAAACAAGCTGCGAACCGGTCTCCTCCCTCCGTCGTCCGTTTGTTAACAGACCTGTCAAATTGCCACTTGACTCCGGGGGCTGCGTAGAAAAGTCCTTCCAGCCTGCAATGCTACAGTCAAACGTCTTCCTCCTGTGAGACCCTTGGTGTTGTTACGCGAGCCCTAGTCCATCTAGGCAGGGTGATGTGGCCTAGATGTGTACACTGTTTCTTGTTGTGTACATAGGAACGTCCCAGAGTAAGGTATGTGCCCTCCTGCGTGACGGTTCTCAGATTACAGCGCCACCGGCTTGTTTTTGGGTTTCCGGTCTTTTCAGAGGCCATTTCGTAATACGCTACCTAAGTTCGCTGCGCCACTCAGACGTTTCTTATCATTATACCTATGCTCTTACCTATACATCTCTGTTCTCGCTGCGTTTGACCGACTAGGGTGCCATTGGTATCTATGGCCGACAATGGAGCTGGACGTGATACGTCCTCCAGTCTGTTCGTCCTTCATCCTGTCCAGTCTGTAGGCACAGGCTCACAGCAGAAAGTGATCAGCCCTCAGACGTCAACTATTCGCGGTGCCTCTCTCACCATTTACACACGCTGTACATCGAGCAGGGCTATCAAAACGCAGTGCATCCTGGTGATCATCTGTTTGTTTCACTATCTCCCGTCCCCTTGGACCTGCAGTCCCACTGCCGGGGTACTCGGCCGTCTACACAGTGCTAGTTAGTGTTTGTGGAACGCCGCAGACGAGTTTTGAAAGCTAGCCAAGGGCAGGCTTCTCTTTTTTTATTTTATTTTATTTTTTTTTTTTTTTTTTTTATGATGTAATTCTGTGAGTAACAGTCCCGAGCGGATGGCCGGAGAATGTACCTCGGAGCACACGACCCCATTCATTTCCAAACCGTTTGAGCAGCACGAGTCACGAGGCCTTCCACAACATCTCGTTGTTGTTTTGAGCTCACAGTCAGCGCGAGGCACCCCGCGAGGGCCACTCCATCTCCCTCCCAGCAATTCATTCAAGGATCCGAGCCGATGACTGCGGGGTGTAGATACCCATATGCAGATGGCCGACGGAAGACCCATATGCTCTACTGCAGCTAGTAGTCCTGGAGATGGTCGGTCATTAGACGAAGGCCCCTGTTGTTAACAGATATACAGAAATGGGCCTATGAGAGATCGGCTAGGTACGCAGGCATCACGCCCTGGGTTTGTGCTACCGGCTTGGGTGGGGGCTGCGGAGCCCAGATCGCGGCGGGCAAGAAGTACTCTGTGTAGGTAGGTACGATGGAGAGGGGATCATCGTGATGTGCTTTGCAAACAGACAGGTTTGGCACCCCAAGTTACTAATACGGATTAGTAGACTGTTGAGGCAAGTCAGCCAGACCACTTGGTGATACCGGCGGTTTATAACACCTGAACACTTTGCAAGGCATCCTTTCCCCATTGTCTCTCCTTTCGTTCAGACCAGATCCTCCACTATCGCGCCTGACAGTGGGACCTTGTGTGTGGCCAAGAAAGCTGTTTGAACAACTGAACATCCAGTTGAAACTTGAACCGCCACCAGCCTCGGGTACTTCGTCGACAAACCACCGCTGGTGCCTCGGTTCGAGTGTTTGATCCTTTACGTTCGTTACTTCCTTGCGCTGTCTTTACCGCCGGCACCAGCTCTTTGCTCCAAGGGCCTAGCAAGCGGAAGGAACGACCGGCCCGGACCACCTTCATCGTCAATAAGAATCTTGAAAAGACAACCTACAATCGTTCACAAAAACCCTCCTGTATCTCCGGAACCGGTATGTCTCACCCCCCTTTCGTGCCGGTCACAGGTATCTTGATCTGGGGGTAGTCATGGCACTGCGTTTCGGCCGGCCTAGTGCAACACCGACCAGCAGGGCGGCGAATGCGCGGGGGGCCACACACCACTTGTCAAATCCCGGCCGGCACCAAACGCTCCGTTTGTATATGTCGCTCATGTGCTCGACCAGGTCCTCAAGGTGTCAGGCCCAGACCAGACACGAGAAAACGCCTCGTGACAGCTGTTGACCGTAACCTCTCACAACCTGCTTTCGGAGCAACATTCGCTTTGGAGAGCTGTTTTTCAAGGTCTGCCAACTTTGTCCTTCGGTTCTCCTGACGGCTCTGGACGGTCCCTGTTGCGTATCTCGCTGGGCTACTGAGAGTCAGGTTGTAGCAGACGCTGGGCGACGACCTCACTCTCACGGCATTTCGGTCCCTTTGCGGCCGAGTCAACCGTGGAAAGAAATTCTTCAGGGGCGGTCCTGAGAATAACGACGCGCGCCTGACCCGGCGGGAGTCAGTGAGAACAACAGGAAAGGGAAACAGGAAGAACAGCAGAACGCAAGGAAAATAAGGACAGGGCAGGGCACGCATCGACCGACAAGCGGACAATGGTATCCCAGGCCTGTTATACCAGCAGCGACGGAAGACGATATAGCCGTCCCTATCCACTGTATTTCCCCTCGCCCTCCACGGATCGGCGGTTTGCATTGTCGTCGCGCGACGGGCGGACAATCACGATGGCGGACCAGACGGACTCGGACACGACACCGCAGAGAAAGCGCATTGCCGTGGCTGTAAGACGCTATCTGCCCGCTCCCTTCCCGGCCCCCCTCATGTCCATTATGCGCACGGTCTCCCTACCGCTCTCTTTACTAACACATTAGAGCCTTCGTGTCTTCCACCATGGAGCCTGTAATTCCGAATCCAACCAGTAGCTGACATCCTCTTTGTTGCAGTGCGGCCGCTGTCGCAAGCGTAAGATCCGATGCAGTGGCGACCCCGGCCACGGCCAGCCGTGCTCCAACTGCAAGAACGCAGGCGTGGACCAATGCCAGTTCCTTCGGGTACAACATGCTTTCTTAACCTTGCTCTCCTCGCCCTTTTCCCTTCAACAATGAGTCCTAACTTGTCTGCCGACCAACCAGGTATCCTCCCGAGAAGCCCACTTGCGCGACGGAGCCAGCGATTTCGGCTACAGCGTCGGGGACGCCAGGGTCTACGCGAGTCGGACGCCGGTGGGGGGGGGTATGCCATACAACCAAGACCTGCCTCCGACGCTGGGTTCCAGCGACGTTTTGGGCTCGTACCGGGGCGCCGGGTCAGCGTACGCCTTTACGCCAACAGCAGCAGCTACAACAGCCAGGGCCTACTACCCGGCCATGCACGCCTACGGCACCCCCTACGCCGACGACTTCGAGCTCGGACTCGGCGTCTCATCTCCGTCAGTCATGAGTCACGACCAAACGGGCATGCTGCCGGGGCAGTGGAGCTCAGGGGCAGCGGCAGCACGGCAGACGAGGACGCCCACCTTCAGCAGCATGTACATGGATCCTTCTACCCCGGACGGCGGGGCGTACGGCGGTTACGGCGGCACACCAGGGGGGCTCCTCCACCGGACAAGCGCCGACTCGCCCAACTTCTCCTTCTCCGCCGTGGCCGCGTCCCTCCCGCTCTCCAGCACTCCCGGTCCAGACCGTGTGCTCCCCAACCCGACCGGCCAATCCTCCTCCACCCTGCCATACCCGGGAATGAAGCCGCCAACACCCGCTGCTTCCTCGGCTTCCGCGGTAGCCGCAGCAGCGAGCACGCTAGCCGACGTCGCCACTGCAGCAGCGAGCTACGCAGGCGGATTTGAAACCACCGCCACCGCTGCAGCAGCGTATGCTGCCTCCTCCGCTTCGTCCTCGTCCTCTTCTTCGGCCACCGCCAGCGGGAGCAGCATGTCCGGGACCTCGCCCTCAGTCGCGTCCCGCTCGAACTCGGACAGCTACTCCGACTTCACCATAACAACCGGCGAGTCGCACGACCGGGGTCACCAGTCATCCGCGTACGAGTACACGTCTCCACGACGTGGTTCGAGCAGCCAGGTTTATGGTGAGAGTGCACATGAAGTGGGGTACGATCATCATCACCATCACCAGCATCATGGACACGGTGGGCATCCCCATCAGCATCAGCATCCTCATCAGAGTGGCTTCTCGTACATGAGCGATCCGGCCGCTGCCCATCCTCATGCCCACGGCCAAGTCGATGACCGGCATGTGGTTGCGCAGGCCGCCGTCAATGCTGTGGCCGGCCGTCACTGATCGGCTGCAATACTATGGCACTGGAAACAAGGTTGGGGGCCGGAAGTGGCTGATTCGCTGGCTGGCTAGATGATGGTTCAGAGGCAGGTCTGGCCTGAATATGGAGTTAACTAGAATCTCCTGCGCAGGTCATCCATCCATCCATCCATCCATCCATCCAAGCTGAGTCGGACTCAGAGTCGGCCCGGCTTCCTCTCTCCCCCCCTCTCTCAATCCCTACTTTTTACACTGCGGGCTCGATCTGTTCAAGCCATGCCGCGCGGGCGGCCGGGGTGTGAAATCCGAGGCGACACGGCGTGCTGCAGACACGGACGAGGTGACGAGCTAGCCCGGCTGGGTGGGCTGCGAGGTTTTGGGAAGAGACACACCTTGCCACGAACAAACGGGGAGGGGTCGAAAAATGCAGAACGGGAGTCAGGACCAAAATCGTGCAGCTTATCCCCTAACTTATCATAGACATTTCTCTTTTCGGTGTTCAGACCGGGGTCGGGTTTGAGGCGACGACCAACCAACCTATTATTAGTGTGCGTGTGTGTATGTATGTATGTATGTGTGTGGGCATGATGTCTGCGCGGCTGGGGGATATTATCGAGGCGTCTTTTTCTTCTTTGGATTGCGTTTTGTGTCTCTGGTCGTTTGTTTTGTGGTTGGTTTGACTTGATCCTTTTCACTCTTCGACTCACCTGTACCTCGCTGCTTTGCCTAGAGGTTAGAGGCTACCTACCAACCTTTTAGGTAGCTAAAAGAGTAATCCAACGCGTCTAACCTGCTCCAGTATCGAGTGAATGGCTCTTTCCAGCGTTGTCTCATAAGGGGGTGGGATCTATTGGGAAGTGGGAAGCTTGAACATTGATGTCTTCGGCGCTGACCCTATGGTGGTAAGTCCAGGAGTGAAACCGTCTCATGTTTTGGATGTTTTGAGAGCGAACGTGGAACTTATGAGGTGCCGAGACTGGTGGTCCTATGACATTAACCACTCACGCTTTCTTAAAACCATACTCGAGCCTAACAGAGATCATGTATTTGTAAGAGCAACCGTCAATGGCAAGTTGTATATCCATAGGTACCTTATATATAGAGAGCTACCAGTATAAGCAGAACGAGTAATGGCTAAGTCCGAGGTTCATAATAAAATTACTAAGTGTATTAACGTGATTTATAAACGAGTGTTACATATAAGCGAGTGTTACAGTCCCCACTACCCCTACCACAACTATCCTCCAAAATACAACAACAACAGCATCAACCAACTACAATTACATCAGAAATAGCTGAATCAGACGATTCTGCAGCCTCCTGGCAGGTACAGGCATTATGGCCAGGCTTGCCATATACACTATAGCACCGAACACCTGTACGGACCCCCCCTGTACCACTACCACCCGGCTGTATTCCTTCAACTACCTCCCTACCCACAGCCTTCTGGGCTAGCATATCCTGCGTAGCCTGTATAGTAATTGATCCTCCAAGCTGCACACGTGTTCTTTTAGCTCTCCGGCGCTTGCTTAGTACTTCGTTGGCCTTACGGAGCGAAGAGACCTCTGACTTAAGAAGGGCCATCCGGTGCATTACGGCCATTGTACTCTTGGCCAGTTGGTCTACTGCAGTTAACATTGAGGTCGGGGAGCTGTTTTGGTGGTTGGTAATACGGGTCTTAATAGCTATTGACTATACGTTGGCTTCTTGAGGGTTGTATGGCGTCTGGAAGACCCAAGGTTGTACAGTGCCGGGCCGTGAGGTTGGGGGCGTTGGCGTACGAAGTCGAATATCCAGTTGAGAGAGTACTCGGTCTGGGTCGTACGGTACTAGGCCAGCTCCTGCAAAGCCACCCTATATATTGCTCTCTGTTATAGAGGTAAAAAAAGCTTCGCGAAAGGCGCAGAGGAAGTCGAGCTTGCTAACGTGGTTGATATATGCCCGGATCAGATCCTCGATTTGGCGACCATACGCCCGCTTCAGTGGTCCGAAACAGCCAACGTCGAGTGGCTAGCACTTATAGGACGAGTGTATAGGCATACAGAGAGTCTTGATATTGTTGTCCTAACAGTAGCGTTTGAATTCGGTCGAGTGGTGGCTCTTATGGCCGTCAAGGATCAATATCCGGTAGGTGCCCTTTGTACGGGACTTTGTATAGTAGTCGAAGTGCTTGATCTAATTGAGGCCTACTTTATTAGTAGTCCAGCTGTTGTTAGTAGTTGCGATCCGCCAGATAAGTGGAAGGCCGGCCTCGGTATACTAGCTACTTAGATAGTACTGCCTAGCCAAGATAATGAACAGAGGGATAGCCCAGCCAAGAGTATTGACTCCCTGGATTACTATTGCCTACTTGCGATTGCCGGGCTGGGCTAGCTTTGCCTTGCTATAGCCGTCAGAGGTTATAACTACTATACTAGCATAGATAATACCTATTATAAACCTAGTCTTGTCAAAGTTATAGATATCGTCGTCGACAATACTATACTTGGCCTTGACATTCTATACAAGTGCAAACCACTCGCCAATAACCTTTGGATCCTCGCACTTGGCCCTCTGGTAATCGTACCGACGAACAAAACGCATCTTGAGCTCTGGCTGGCGTTTGACAAAGTTGTAGGCCCAGAGCTTCCCAACAGGGGGCTTGTCGCATAGACGTAGTAGTTGGTTGGCCATATCTTCTACAGCCTGCAGTCTAGGTGGAAATGCACGTGCAACTAGCACAATAATATACTGAACAATAGCCTGCTCTTCGGATTCAGTGAGCTTCTTCAAATTGGCCGTACAGTCGCGTCGTATAGGCATGCCACGGAGTCGTCGAGAGAGGGTTATAGCTGTTACGTCGTAGAGCTTAGCTGCGGCTCGAAGGCTTAAACTTTTGTTATTTCGAATAGCCTCGAGGGCCAAGATTACCCTTGCTTCCTTGGAAGTAGAAGCCATATTAGGTTGTAGAAAAGAATGATGTTATATGCAAGGAGGACGTGTTATGGTGGGGGCTGTAACACTCGCTTATATGTAACACTCGCTTATAAATCACGTTATCTGAACGGCTATTAAGGTATCAACTTCTATAGAACTCTGTTGTCATATTCCCGCCCATCCCTTTCCAAACTAGAGCTTTCCAACTAAGTTCCGACGACGCTGACCACGTGGTCTGGTTGACCTCTCCGTTGACGCCAACCACAAATACGCCCACCTTCTCGGGCTGCGTGTTCGTGATATTCACCAGCAGAGGCGCGCTATTCCCAAACACACCCAAGTCCTCCCACTCCGAAGCCCACTTCAGCCCCTGGAGAACCCGATGCTGCAGACGATCGTTGGTCCCCAGCGCCACCACATCCACCCGCGAACCGGACCCCGTGACGGCCACCGACGGCACGCTCTGGAACGAGCCACCCGCATCCTCCAGCGGCGTGTAGCCCCCGCCCGTGGTCCAGGTGAAGTGGTACATGTGCCGGTCCTCACCAATCCCGAAAAAGTCCAACCTATCCCCCGTCACCTCCACCACCACCGGCTCCCCGACGAACTTGCCGCCCCGGTTACTCGGCGGCGTCCAGCCCGTCTCCTTGCTGTACTGTGTGTGCCGCACCGCCCCGTCGTCGGCGCCATACACCACCAGGTCGTGGAAAAACGGATACGGCCGACACACCACGCCCGGCGGCACGCCCGGGGCGAGCCCGGGGCCGTCGAAGTGTATATCCCTCCCCCACGGCGCGTTGCGCTCCACAGCCCAGTGCTCCTCGAAGCCGGCGCCCACCCCGAAATTGTGCGCCACGCCCGTGTCGTCCGCGAACCACAGGTCCGGCCGCGACCCGTTGAGGTTGCACGCCGAGATTGGGCTGGAGGCTGGGAAGCCGCCGAGGACTTCCCAGGTCCCTGGTCGGTAATGGGTCTTCTCGTCGTCGTCGTCACTGAGGACAAACTTGAGCGTGTGCACCATGTGACTCGGGTCCGAGAGCGCAAAGACCGACGCGCGCGTGCCGTTGCCCCAGGTCAGTGCCGACGGCTGGCTGAGGTAAGGCCCGCTGCCGCCGGCGGTGATGGTGGTGTCGTTGATGGCGATGGAGGCGAGGCTTTGCCATTTTGTTGTTGTTGAGGAGGAGGAGTCTGAGGAGGTCGGCCAGGAGGGGGAGAGGGCCGAGGCGGCGGCTGAGGTGTACCATATCGCGTTGTCGACGCCGCGGGCGAAGAGGAGGATGGTCGCGGAGGAGGAGGGGGGCCAGGCGCCGAGGGAGGCGGAGGCGAGGATCTGCGGGCAGACTTGGTCGCGGCAGGCGCTGCGCTGCGTCGTGCCGTTGAAGACGGGGCTGTTATTGTTGCTGTTGTTGTTGCCGCTGTCTGCGGGAGAGGGGGTTGAGGAGTTGGAGTTGTTGTCGGACCTGGCGTGAGAATTGGCTAATGATTAGCGAACGTTGCTTTGCAGGGCAGGATGGGGAAGGACGGGATACGGGAAAGGGAGGGAGCTCACCGCGTTGCGACCACGGCGCCCACCACGGCGCCAACGATGATTAGCCCGGTGACAGTGATGGCGCTTAGTATCCAGCGCTTGCGCTTCCACCACGGCTGTTTGTGTGGGGCAGGAGCTCCCAAGGCCTCGTCGGCTTTGCTCACGTCGCTCAATTCGTGCAGCTCGCTCAATTCGGGCGCATCGGCGACCTTGCCATATGGAATCAGTGGCGCCTGGGCGTAATAAGAAGGGTGTTTGAGCTCTATGGGAACAGCCTCTGGCAGGGAATTCAAGAGGACGGCCTGCGGCGCATCGGGTCCGTGATGTACGACCTGTAAACCCGAATAATCGGGCTGAGCCTGGCCGCCGTCCCACCGTGGCTCCATCGTGTCAGAGTCTCAGGTTCGATGATGTGGTCGAGTCATTGTGTTTAGTGAGGGAGGAAGAAGACGGCGAGGAAGTTAAAAAGATTGTCTTCCTTCGGGAGGCATCCAGGCGAAATGTTTTATTAGTGTGTGCGATGCTGCCGAACTAGGAAGTCTAGGATTGTATGCGTGTGGGCCTGTACTTCCAGGTTGCAGTTGAAAGTCCGACCAGGCCAACGAGGGAGCGTATGGGAATTTCCGTAGGAACCGAAAATGGGTCTCTGTGCCGGAGCCGTGCAGTGAATTACCCACTTTGGCACTCACGCTTATGTTGTATTTATTATTAGGGAGAATGGCGGAGAGCTGAGGTCAAATATCTGTGCCTAGCGCAGCTGCGCAATAGGTAAATAAGCGATGATGGCAAGGGTGAGTGCCTGGATTCGTCCATAATAACTCCCCAGGATTCCAGACCGTACTCCGTACTGGAGTCTGGAACCGCCATTTTGACAGTGCTTCAATACTCCGATGATTCAGTGAGATACTGTGCCGCTGCGCGTTTCATTACCCGGCACTTATACATAAGTTACTAGTAGTACTTGGATGTTTGTCAGGTTCATCACCGTGGTCAACCGCTCTCTTATAGATGAATCAGATTTCGAGTTAGCTCACAGTAGGCGGTGCTGTGGATTGCTGAACCTGTAAGTGTCAGCTTCGTTGAGGAAGGAATATAAACTTGGACCACAAGTCGGCCGGTTTTCGATAGGGCTACATCAATCCGACGCTATCGAGGGCATCATGCGCTTGAATCATCTTCTAAAGTAGGTCCATTATAGTTCTGAAGTTGAATATCTGATGTTTGTTCTTTCCTGTTAAACCTCACAGTATATATCATCTTCTCTGCGTGTCTGGTTTTCCGACCGAGAAGCTTAATAGTCGAAGTTCCTGGTCTGTTGGACTAGATAGAAGACACAGCAATATAATGAATTCGACATGCCACCTAAGTACCACGTCATTGGACCCTATAAGGAGAAGTAGGACGTGAAGAAGGAAGTCGTGGTGAACAGGATAACATTAAGGCAAAGCAGCAACTCGGCTAGCTCAGCCTCTTCCTACGATGGTAGGTGATCCAAAGTATACGTCTCACCATGTGCATGGTTTGGCCTTGACTTGCTTTCGACTAAGGTACCTACGTAGCGTAGTTGTCTCGAATGAGGGCCAGATGGTGACATGGTGCGTGTGATGATGGGATGGTTGACCTGCGCCCAGCGCCCACCATTTCCACCTTCCTCGCCGTTTGCAGACGGCACCTTTGCTCCCACACACCGCACGAGACCAATGGAATTTCACCACCGCCCTCACGACATTGCGCCCACCACCGCACCGACTAAAATATGACGATGCATTTGGTCACTAGGCCGCCCCGCCGGGCGATCCCAGGGAATATCGGCCATCGCTGGTTTCGCGCCCCAGCTGTCCTTGGATCTCGCCAATATTCCGGGCTGTGGCTCAACGAAAACAGGGCATTGATGCCTCAATCGTCCGCCAGATGAGCACGCCTGCCCTTATTCCATACACAATCGCCATGATGGAAGCATCGCGTCTACCCCGTCCCGTTGTCGGGAGCTCGGTCACCGCCTTGCTTGATAAACTCCATTCCAGGCCCGATCACCTCGCTACCTGTGTCCCGCACCTGCCGACTGGCCTTATACAACGGGTCAACCAGACCTACGACATAATGGACGCTATGGTGACCGACTTTGCAGCTTGTGCCTTGATGCCCATCCCCGCAAGCGGCACGGCTAAACCAACAAGTGTATCACTCTCGCCGGCCGAACATTTTCGCTTCCGTCGCGCCTTCTATCGATTCGCCGCTGTTTTATACTCTCGTTCAGCATCGTGCCTTCGCTGACGATAAGTATCGCGTGTTCTTCTCGAGGCATCCCCCTAGCTGGGAACGAGCAGCTAGGTAGCTTGCATCCACAGGCATCTAGGAACAATGCTTGACCGAGGTTTGTTAGCCGATGCTAAAGGGACGCTTGGGTTGGGTTCGTTGCTTGAGCTGTGCGAAGCTCCTACTTTGCTAGTCATGAGACTAACAACGCCTAAATTGTAGCTATCTCTGGGCGTCGAATTCATCTACAACTCGGTTCTATCTTTGTGGACTCGATTGGTGGAAATGTCAAGGAAAATTCGAACTTCCATCACCGTTGGGGAAGTCCATCTTTCGACCAGACAAGACTAGATTGGCCACGCCTTATCAGTGTCGCGTTACTGCGCGCTATGAGGAGAAGCAGTATGGGAAGAAGGACTGGTGGCGACAGGAGAATACAACGGAAACCCGGCTAGCTCGGCTTCTCCCTGCTGAATGTGCGGATGGTAGCCCTGCAGCTCATGCGCGACCGGCTCCACGGGCAGCTCCGACTTTTGACTGTGACGAGCGTCCCCGGCGTAGTAGGTCGTCATCGGGAGCCCCTGGGCCGGCTGCGGGTACGATCCTGGCATCGGCCCGGTGGCCTCCGCCATCTTCTTGATCTTGTTCAGCTTCCACCACAGATAGGCGACTGCCCCGACGAGGAGCGCACCAACAGCCGCGCCGACCCCGATGCCCGCCTGCGCACCCGTGGACAATCCGGTCGACTGCCCGGAAGGTTCGGCCTGGCTCTGGTTGTCTGTTGAGTCCCCCGAGGCGGTTTGGGCGGGAATGGTGTTGGCGCTCGATGTAGCGGCCGTTGACGGCTCTGCCGAATCCGTGGTCGGCTGGGCCGAGGCGTCACTGGTCTTTGAGGCTGAGGAGGACGTGGTCGAGCGTGGCGTCACCACAACATATTGCCTGGATTCTGAATTCAACAAAGCCCAGGTCTTCGGATTCGACGGGGGGACCTCGAACCGGCCGACGCCTCCATCGCAGCAGTTCGGCATCTCGTCACAGCAGTAGGACGTATCGCGCCCCGTGACGTTGGAGCAGGGGACCAGGTCGTGGCCCACGCTATCCCAGTCTAGATTTTTGTGCGTCAGCATTCACGGGCCGGTTTCTACGAACGTTCTGTAAAAAAAGAAATGGGTGCACCGACTAAGACAGAAATGGGGACATTCGGGAGACATCCACGTCTCGTCCGTACATGAGCCCCGAATCACCTTCCCGTCCTTGCCCTGGCAGAGCCCGTTCTCGAGGCAGGCGAAGCCGAAGGGTGCCCCGGCACAGCAGGGGCTGTTCTCGGCATTCTCGTCGCAGGCCCAGTCGATGCCCGCTTCGTTGCCGTTGGGGTAGTAGCACTTCTTCCCGAAACATGTCCGCAGCAGGGCGAGCTGGACGAGCAGCGAGAAGAGGGCCCTCATGGTGGTGCCGAAAGACAGTCAGTCGCCCAGAGTTCTTCAGTCTTCTTGAATTCACCGCCACTGCCCGCCCCTAGCGAAATTGAGTGACGCGATTGTCTGTCCTCTTGTTCGCGTTTTGGAGATGAGATGCCACTGCCGCCGGGGGGCGCTGCCACGTTGGACATGAACGTCGGGGGCGCCAGGTGGTGAAAGAAAAGGAGAATTAGGGGAGCATGACGAAGGGAAGAATAAAAGGTTCGAAAAATGTCGCCGGGATTCGAGACGCGAACCTGAAGTCGACCCTCCTCGGCCCCCAACTTTGCGGCGCATGCAGGGCCTTCAGGGGTGTCATGCATCATCTCAAAAGCTTGGCCCGGCATAAGTTCAGGTATGTAGCTTTGCTGTCACTGCTGCGCCGCCGCTCGTCGTCGTTGGGGGCCAGCGAGCTGTTCCACTAGGTCGCCATGGAGCCAATGATCTCTCAATGGGCCCGACCCAGACTATTCTTCTTCGAGTGTTAGCTTATGCATGGGCGCTTATTTTAGACTTTGCTGGTACGGATTAACGTTACCTATCGATGCAGATCTCAGCCGGACCCCGGACCACCGGTTCTTCGCCCGAATTGCCGCGAGCGGTGTGCCCCATGGGGGAAGGGGGCAAAAGAATCTCTATGTTCGGGGTTTGCACAAGTTGAAAGCGCCTGCGATTCACTGCCAACTATTCCAGATGCAACTGGGGCGCTTAGATTCGAAGACACATACAGTGTAGACTTTCCTTGAAAGAATGAAGAAAACACAAGCTCGTCAGGAGAGCTACCCCCGGCTTAGCCCCGGATAGTACACAAATCCTTCGCCGAAGCGGGGACACCACCTGAGATCGCCCACGGACTTTACTCCGAACCACACAGGGGCACATGAAGTCATATATTTCGAACCGGCGACCTTCGAAGAGACCGCAGCGATCCCGGCCTAAGCGCTTGACCGTTGAGCCATACGCACACAGCGGAGGAGTTATTGGCATCTTGGACCGACTTTATCAATGCCTCCCGCCCTCGGTGCACTCGGGTGGCCTTGCACCCTGCGCGTATCCAACAATGGCCTCCGAGTTCCTGACGACATCTTTCATATCTCGGGACTGGCCGCCTTATTACTTCTTGTCGGTGACGTGCTATTGCTGCCCCCAAACAACAAGTGCATTACACCTCATATCTCCGGCGTGGTGGAAAGTAGCAAGGTGCCGCACGCCGCCGTGTAGATACCGTCGAGCTCCGGGACCGAAGTGCAGGCGGAGGTGTCGCGTGTGTGCTCCCGTTCCCCAATGGCCACGGCTGGATTAAACTCTTCTGACTGGGTGTATTTGCCATCTCTCGCCCGCTGTTGCAAAATCTTGACTTTCGCACAACTGCAATTGATGACTCAGCAAGCACAGGCCAAGCCCTCGGCCGAAGTTTTGGCGGCCGGGAACCCGTTCGCGTTCCCGGAGTGGGGCCGGCGCCGTAACGACTGCAAACGGCGCCGGCGACGGAGGCCGGAAGGCGTCGCCCATTCTACTTCATTCACACCCTATTAAGTCACTTAGCTCGCACCTGCGCATTCGCGATGGCGGTGCATTTCCGGCGCCAGGATCCCGTTCCCAGGATCCCGTTCCCGGTTCGGGGACGCGAACCAACTGCACCCGACCCTCGAGCCTCGGTGCTGGCCTTGGTGGCCTTAGCTCGCTCATGCTGTCGTGGCCTCCCGCTTTCCCCCCTAAACCCTAGAACTCCCTTCTCCCTTACCTTCTCGTCGTTTTTCCTACTCCTAACGCTCTCCTCGACTCACGATGATGGTACCACGATAGTCGCGCTTCTTTGGAGCGGGCTAGAGTAGAGTTAATGCGCTCCTCTAGGCTTATATAGCTAGCGCCATCGAGGAGGAAGGCAATAAGAAGCTCTCTGTTGCTTTAGGTACAAAGGTGAAGCACGATAGAATATAGGACACCTAGACTAAGTATATCTCCTCCCTCTTCTTTTTAAGCTTCTTTAATCTAAACTACATCTCGATATAAAGCCTAAGAGAATGTTTCGATATACTACTAATTTCTACTATCTTATAAAGTTTTTATAAACTTACTAGAAAGAAAGAAGGTATAATAGTGAACAGGTGCAGAGACTACTACAATTATACCTAACATATATACATACCACTGCTTAGTATAGTGAGGTTATATATCAGCGTGAGAGAGGAGAGAGATCAACATCTCATAGATAGATCAGGTGTCCCAGACTCGACAGCTATAAATCATAGATAAACTGAGTCCTCTGCTTCTAATCAGAGGATGACTGAGGTCATGAGCTCAATAGCATGCACTATTAGGTCCGGGCCGAAGCCTAAAGATAGGATCCAAAGGAAGGCTCATTCTAATCAAATATACTCCGGCCCTAAACACACCGCTAAGAATCAAATGCAATGCAAATCCACTAAAAAGAAGTGGAGCCTAACTGCTAATCGCATGCTGTAGCTCTCTGCCCTAGTACAATAGATAGATATAGCGCTCTCTAAATATATATAGCTTAAGCTCCAGCATTAATGCTAACTAAGTGAAGCTATAATAATGTCGACTCTTGCTACTTCTAGATAGGCTTTACCTAGGATTTATTAACCTTAAATATTTGAGCACTAATCTAGATATTTCTATATTAATATATAGAAACCTCTCATAAAAAACATATTATACTAGACCTTAAGAAGCGCGCTATAGTCTATATAGTCAACTCTACTTATAGTATTATTAAGGTTTAGCGGAGGCTATTGAGTCATCTATTTATTAGAAGCAGAAGCTAGAGAACAAGGTTAAAAGGCTTCTAGAGAGAAGGAACTAGCTAGGCAACGATGCTAAGAATATAATATATATAGCAAGCGCGACTAAGATCTAACCACTACTACTAAAGACCAGAACCTAAGACTATTAGGAACTCTTACTATCTAACAACGACTACGAAGCCTTACTAGAAGGATCTAAACTAGATAAAAGCGACGAACTCTTAACTAAAGTATAATCTACCATCAATGAAAGACTCAGAGAAACCTCGGGATATATGCTCTCCTAGAGCGGCATAAAATCGGCGTCTTATAAAAGAGGTATGCTCGAAAGAGCTGGGGGTGCTGAAGAGGCCTCAACTGCTACTACCGCCTCTGCCGTCTTATATTTTTCTCGCTCTAACTCCTCTATAGTATCGATGCCTCGGGAAATGGCCCGCGCCATCTTCTCGAACTATATCCACTTCTAAAGATGCAGTCGGTCAATTTTAGTATCTAAGGACACTCGCTCCACTTCGGCAGCAGCTATCTTATTCTCCAACTTACTATACTAAGCCGCTATATATTAAAGTTATTAGACCGATATGCTCTAAGCATTATAAGATCGGTAATTGTAAACATACTCGATATAGAATGAAGAAACATTAGACGAGGCCTTGCATTCAAGACTACGCTCTTTATAAAAGAAATAAGAAGATTTTACTGCTACTAACGCTTATAGGATTACCTCAAGAAGATAGTGACGTTCCATGACTTTAACTTTCGACTTTACTAAAGGCTTCCTAACTCGATTCGATATTTTGTTAATATCTACCACGATAATATATAAGAGAAACTAGAATATACCTATAGAGTAGGATATTAGCGCTATTTAAAGTTGTAGAGAGCAGGTTATTAGAACTTTCAAGACGAAAGGCATAAAGGAGAGGCATTATATTATAAATATAGCTATATATAGTAGCTTAGCAAAGCAGAAGTAAATGTTCCGGGCTAATTATTTAAAGATAAGATATAACCAATCATGAAGGGAGCACGAACGTAGGCCTCGTACTAGGATAGGAGCGATGAGAGCGACAAATGCTCCTAGCAGGATAGGAGCGACAAGAACAATACTCGCTTCTACTACTCCTATAGATAACTAAGGAGAAAGCTATATATAAGTTTATACTCACTAGGTCTATAGACATTATAATAGCTTTCTTAGTAAGCAATTCAAGCAATAGCCTTTACTTATTATATAGACATTGCAGCTAGTATTATTATAAACCTCTTAGCTTTATAGAGACCTTAGGCTAACTAATAGTATCTTTGATAGAAGAACTCTTTAGAGGTAGGACTATCAGGGTTTCGTCATAAGAAAGCAGTTCACGCGCCTATATTTTTCACTCGCTTATAATATATATTAAAGATAATTAGCTATTTCTTAAATATTAAAAAGCTAGCGTGGTTGATAAGCGAATGCTCCAGATAAGCGAATACTCTACAAAGTTGCACCTATATAACAAAATGTATATCAATCCCACCAAAACCGCTTCAAACAAATGAAACTACTCGGAATCGTCTTCCTCAGACGTTTCCACAACTATCTGACAGGTACGCGCATTATGGCCAGGTTCGCCGCAGGTGCCACAGCGCCGCGCGCGCGTCTCGACCCTCGGCTTCCGACCACTACCCGCCCATGTTTCCTCCTTTATCTGCACCTCAACCTCTCTCTGACCCTGCAAGTCCTTTGCATCTTATATAGTAAGCAATCCTCCTTGTCGGAGCCATTGTTTTTTAGCCTGCCGACGCCTGCTTAGTGCCTTATTTGCTGCTTGGAGGCTTTGGTTCTCTGCTCTTAACAATGCTAATTGATATATAACCTTAGACGTCCCTTTCGCAAGGATATCAACTGCTCTTAAAATCTCGGTTGGAGAGCTATTTTGATGCCGGGCAATTCGATTCTTGATAAGGGCGGACTACGAGGAGGCTTTGGCTAGATTATTCGGGGTCTTGGAAACCTAGGTATAGGCACTGCCAGGCCGGGAGTTCGAGGGTATTAGTATCTTTAGACAGATGTCGAGCTGGGAGATCACCTTCTCAGGATCAAACGGAACGAGTCCAGCGCCTCTAAAACCTCTCTGAATATTTCCGGGCGTTATTACTACCTAGTGAGCTACAAGGAATACGGGAAAGAAGTCTTCTTTAGTAATTGTTACGAACCAACCATATAACCCGACCTGGTGGGGCTATGCAGGTGATGAGGTTACCAATCGGGAAGCACGAGGCAGTAAGATGCCCCACATGGACGCCCGAGGACGACGGCGAGCACGGGCGTCCATAGAAAAATAGCTAGTATATAGTCATTTGTTCTAGAGGACTCTGGGAGTTCTCCAGTAAGCAATATAAGCAGTAAGGTAGCCCTATATTACTATGCAGACATTGCGACTTGCATTGTTATGAAC